GGAAGCCAAGGGAAGCGCCATTTGGAAACTAGTCAACACGGGGAAAAGAAGGGACTCTACAATCCCAACTATACAAGGTGAAGAAACGTTTGCGGGGAAGTGCGAAGCTCTAAGAGCCCAACTCTTCCCCACAAATTGGACGTCCCCCAACAACCCCCCACTCCAAATCAGACCCCCCTCCTTTGACCTTAGTGACGATTTCCAGGAAGTAACAACAGAAGAAATTACATCCGCAATCAGATCATGCCCGACACACTCGGCCACCGGACCCGATAACATCCCATACCCGTTTATACAGGCAACAATCAAGGCAAACACCCAACTCTTCCAAGACATGTTCTCGGCCATGCTCCGACATGGAGTCCAGCCGGATCGATGGAAAGTGGCAAAATGCATTCCGATCCCAAAACCAGGAAAATCCGATTATTCGTCAGCCAAAGCCTACCGACCCATCTCCCTACTACAATGCTTCAGCAAAGTACTGGAAAAGATAGTGGCAACAAGACTATGCACCGCCGGATCCATCCTGGAGACCCTCAGCAAAGACCAATTCGGAGGCAGACCAACAATCTCGGCAATCGATGCCTTACTCCGTACCCTCACGCCCATCCAACAGAACCTCCTAATCAAACGGACCACAGGAACCGCCACCCCAGACAGACCAGCGCTCCTCACAAACGACATACAAGGAGCCTTCAACTGTGTCGACCACCTCCTACTCGCCGAGATCATGACCCAACAAAGATTCCCAACATACCTAATAACATGGTGTACGGAATTCAACACCAACCGAAAACTCCAATTCCAATTCAACCACGAACTGGAACAACCACAACCATACACCTCCGGGCTGCCCCAAGGGTCCCCCCTATCCCCAGTATTATTTATGATATACGCCGGGGTAATAACAGACCCCACCAACTCCCCCAAAGAAATAAACACCACCTACATCGACAACGACGCCCTCGTCCAACTAGCAAAGTCCCCTCTCTTTATTACCAAAAGACTCAACGAAAGAATGAACGAAAGAGTCAGGAAAGCGGCACCCCTTAACATCAAATACGAACCCCAAAAATCCGACTTAGTATTTTCAAACCCACAACATCGAATGCCCCAAAACCCAAAAACTCGGTAACAATTGCAGAAGAAGAAATCCACCCCAAAGACAGACTCAAATATGTAGGAGTCTGGCTGGACTCCAACCTCTCCTTCCGACCACACATCGAAGAAACTATCGCCAAGGGCCTCAAAGCACTAGGCAGCATCAGAAATATCGCCTTTCTCCCCGGATCAACAGTTAAATCCATTCACCACCTCACCGTCCAAGGTTTCCTCCCCACAATTCTATGGGGATCGGAGGCTTGGTGGACGGGAGCCGACCACATCCTCCGATCACTATCCCCACTCTACAACGAAGCCGCCAGGATAATAACAGGCCTACCCCGTTGGACAAAAACCGAAAGACTTCTAAAAGAGGCAGCACTCCCCCCACTTGAACTCCTCCTCAACTATAAATCACGAAAATACGGAACGCACATCCTCTGCCACCCCGCAGACCACCCACTCAACGAAGAACTCACACAGCTCCTCCCTACCAGAATAAAAAATACCAAAGGTACAGGCCTACATCGGATTGCGTCACTCATGCTACCCTTCCAGGAACCAGGCAATCGCAGAGAGCGATGGATCCAAAATGATACTCTCACCAAACGAATGCTGGAAGAATGGAACTCCATCCCATGCATCAACTACCACGAACCAGGAACCCTAAAAATCCAACCAAAGCGAGTAAAACTCCTCCGATCCAAAGCAAAACTTATACACCGCATACGATGTCAAGCTACCAGGATAGACAGACACGCAGCATTCACGGAACCCGAACCCTGCCAATGTGGCTCAGAACAATCTTCCAAGCACACCATGATTGACTGCCCACGATGGACACAACTATGGAGGCCACTTATGGACAAAATCCCAGGACCGCCCACGTGGGAAAACTGGCTATTTACCAACCTCAACGTAGACATGATTCTACAATTCGCAGCAAAAAACCAACCTACTCGACTGGTACGAAATGGACGAGGAGGACCCGGAGAAATGATATTCCTTTCTATCTTTTCTTTTCCTTTCTGTTCCGCCTTATGATTCTTCACGTCTTCTTTCCTTTTCTTTCCTTTTTCTTCGCTTTTCGTTTCTTTTCCTTTTGTCCTTTCTTATGTTTTAGGCGGAGGCGTCCGCGTGCGATAAGTCCTGTACTTCAAAGCAATATTAAAAACTATCTATCTATCTATCTTCTGTATTTCTCTACCGTAACCATTGTCCGTATCTGGCATATCCTACCAGGAAGGACCACTTCTGTATCTACGCTGGTTCTCAATACACACGCTATTACTTCACCAAGGCCTTTGCGCCTCGCTTGACCTCGCTCGACTAACTCGACAGCTTCTACTGTCACATATCGTACCCTGCGGAATACGTGCTACCACCGCCCCTTGAGACGAAGGCAACTACCCTTAGTCAAACCCTTTGTAACACCTCCAGTTTTGGTTGTCGCACAACCGGGACCTGCATAAATGAGCTATCGCTCAGGTGTAAGCTTGATAATTGCTGTAGAGCACTTCGCTTATTATAGACTTTCGCAGGCATAGTTCCTGCCACTACCGGCAGACTTATCATGCTCAAAAAATGTAGAGGATCACCGAGCACTCAGAGCTTCACTCTGGCTGGCTTTCTAGTCATTGGCAAGGCATAGACTCGTCAGTCATTACTCCCATGAATAGACCCTCTTCCTAGCGCTCAGAATGTAGTTACTCTGACAGCTGATAGCCAGCCACGCTGCCGGTACTTGCATGTCACTGGGCAACTGGCTTCTAACAATAACTCTCAGCATGTAACCGGGCCCTGTGTGTACTCATACACCAGACAGTTGAAATGGCTCCATTACAGAATTATAGGCTAAAGAGTTTCAGTGAGATTATTTTTGAGTTTGGGGATTTCATCTTGTAGTTATGATTTTGTAAACGGAATCAGGAATTATGTCACTTGATTGTTTTTCAAAGTCTCAGACTGGCCTCTAACATATTCTGTACTGTTAGATAGTTGGCCTTTGAAACATAAGTCAGAGATATAAATATGGTGTAATTCACTGCCTACTAGTAGTTAAACTATCATTGGCGAAATCAGAGGTTTAACATTATAATCATTCATTATTTGCCAGCTACAAAATCATTTCAACTTCATAATCTATTAAAACTTTACTGACTATCACTCTTTGTCCCAACTGAACCAATTCGTCCGGAAGATTGAATACAATCTACTAACTCAAGTGAATCTTCAAGTTTGTTGAATACGTAGCTTCTGGCCCTTGGTGAACCTAAGAGAATTTTACCCAAGGTTGATTAAAGATACCTTGAAAGCTTCCGCCATGACCTCTGTAGTTGTTATTAGAACCCAGGGTGACAAAAGGAGAAAGGTGAAGTTAGAGAATGTAGACTTTTGCCCAAGACTCAGGGTAAAGGTGAAGCCTGTAATCTTCCCCTATCCAGTAATTCCTCGATAAATTGCTTCTATATACATCACCAATCTCTCTAGATCTCTTCTGTATTTTTCCGATTTTATTTTATTTTTATATAAAGAAATATATACTTGTTCATGGTGGTTCCCATGCGGGTAAAGCACGCCCGTATCCCACTACGAGCCGTGGGATAGCAGGTATGATATTATGAATTCTAAGACTGAAGGTGTTTGTTACTACTTGCCACGATCTGATAATCTCACCGTGATAGTATGAGCTTTTGAGCGTTCAACATATCACACCTCCTATATACGCCTGGTGATTCTCCATTTACATCCGGCCACGGTCTAACGGATAGTTCAAAATTGCCCATTTCCAATCCATATTTGATATTCGCAAGATGTCAAATTCCAGAATTTATCTCTGTCAAATACACTCTAATTCCTCTATAGATCTAAATACTGTCAAATCACCCGGTTATCGAATGTCACTCAGGTATCATCATTGTCTCTAGGACAAACACTATCTCCGGATCCACCTGACTGTTTTCGATCCCCTATTTGAGATTGACAAATTATCATAATCAACGGTTGTTAAATATGCTCTATCGATCATCGCAAGCTCACTATCATACGCCGGGACAAGCAGCTGGAATTATAATCTCCTCAACAACCGGTACTCAGTAACGATTAGAAAGTAATCAAAAATAATCGCAAGTATAGTTTTCTGGGAATCAATGATTCGTGATTGGATTCCCAAATAGGACCCGATCTCACATCGCGCGGGACACATATTAACCTACCGACTACCGGCTCTACCTACTGTGTAGCACCGCGAGTTTCTAATGTGTTGGCTAAGGCCCTAAGTATATCTAAATCCCGGAGGAGTTAATTCGGAGTTTGCGAAGCCCGGTTGTAATGTGCATTCACAAACTTAAATAATGGCCTTTCCCCACTCCCCATTGTATTGTGCGTTGAAAATTGACGTTCATCAGTACTAATTTGTAGCACATCATCCCCGGATGAGAACTCGCCAACCACCGGTTGCAATGTGCATTGAAACACCAAACTGGCTGGGAAAGGCCTGTCTCACTAATCCATTACACACCCGATGACTGCCCTACAAGTCGTCAGCCCTCAATTTACACCTCCCCTTACACCCCGATGTGATGATGGACCGAATGAACTATTATAGTCCTAGCACCACACACCGACAGCAACTATTCGGGCACTATGTCGGTATCTCCCCTACTATTTCGTCGATCGTGCACACCAAACCCGGAAATAGCCGATAGTACTATTGGGCAGACGAAACGACTTTCTTCCACCACCCCCGCGTACGTATATGTATGTATGCTTACCAGGAACTTAGGAATCATCATTATTCAGAACGAGGGTCCGGGCCTTGTCTTGTCGACGATGGTAGAAGGAACGCTGCAGGTGGCCACCCCGAAAGATACATGCAGTGATAGTGCTCGGGGGGAGCGATGGTGGGACCAACATTACAGGTTAGCGTTGGCAAATATTCAACTTTGTTGTAAAGTATATCTACAATGGAATACGTAGTTAAAAAGGCGCTGCCCCAAAGGAAGTGAAATTGAAATTGAACTCGTCCAGTCAGACCTTCACTCCCTCTTTCTTTTTTCTTTCTTTTTTTTTTTTTTTGACTGCCGCAGTTAATTTCTCGCGTGGTACAACTTCGGACCTAAATCTAGCCAGGGCAGATCCCTTATACTCGGTTCAACGAGTAAGACACACTCCGCCCTTTTACATTGACATCTGTGATCACAGATTCTCTAGAACATAACATAACGATAAAAGACCTTATAAAATGACGTCAGTTACTGAAAAGAACTCAGAAATGATGAATGCGAGCGAGGATCTAGAGAGTAGGCACCCTACTAGTACGCCCATATGCAATGCCTACACTAACAAAATATTTAGAATCGAGTGATGGTTCAGGACCCATCAAGCTAGGAAGACAACACGGAAGAAGCAACAATGCTGAAGAAGTAATTGCAGAAAACTTGTTCAAAAACATCTGGCACGAATATCTGTTCATTTTAATCGTGACGTCTGCCCAATTGATAACCGTAATTCTTCCCATCTCCAATATCAATGGTTAGCAAACTCATAAAGATACGAATAGCAAGCAAACCTTGGAAACACAATTATGCCGATCTACCACATCTCACGAGGCCTCGGTGTCGGGGAACATGATGCCGCTAGTCAGAGCTGGTTCATCGCTAGTTTCTCCTGTACTGTCGGTGCCTTCGTCTTAATCACCGGCCGCTTCGGCGATCTTTACGGTTTCAAAACCATGTTCACAATCGGCTGGGTTTGGTTTGCTATATGGTCCCTTGCCTGCGGGTTCGCACCCAATGGAATTTCGTTCGATATATTCCGGGCGCTGGCAGGCATTGGGCCCTCAATCCTAATGCCGAATGCAGCGGCGCTATTGGCGAACGGTTGGCGCGAACAGGGGAAGAAGAACATTGCATTTGCGGTTTTTGGCGCAATTGCCCCGGCCGGCTTTGTAATTGGATGTGCGACTGGTGCGGTGATTACTGAGTGCGGTGGGCGGTGGGAGTGGATCTTTTGGAGTATGGCGATTGTGGCGGCAGTAATTGCGGTGATAGGGTGGGTTGTGATTCCAGGGGGTGGGAGGATGAATATCAGGGGTGAGGGAGATTTGGACTGGATCGGAAGCTTTGTGGGTGTTGCAGGATTAGTGTTGGTGTTTGTTGCTTTGAAGTAGGTACCCTGATCATTGACCCGGGGTCAGTCAATTATCATAAACTAACAGAGTCTCAGTGGCGGCCCAACCTTCGGCTGGAAAGCGCCTACCAGTGGTGTCCTCTTGGCCATTGGGCTCCTGTCCCTCGTAGCATTCTGCTATATTGAGACGCGGGTCGCCCACCCAATCCTTCCCATGAGCATTTTTCAGTCGCCGACCTTCGTTGCCGTCGCCATATCCCTCTGCCTCGGCTGGATGTCCTTCGGAATGTTTCAATTCTACACGCCGCACTTTTTGATGGAGTTCCGTGGGCTCTCTCAGTTGGAAACATCCCTCCAGTTTCTTCCATGCGCAATTGTTGGCGTCGCGATAGCATGCATGGCCGTGTTTATGCTGCCGCGAGTGCCGGGGTACGTTATCTTCGGCATCTCAATGCTGTGCTTTTTTCTGGGACAGTTACTATTGGCGCTCACGCCTGTGGAACAGACCTATTGGCAGATGACGTTTCCGACGTTTCTGCTGATTTGCTGCGGGCCCGATCTGTCTTTTGCATGCTCCTCCTTGATCGCAAGTGATAAGTTGCCAAAGGAGAAACAGGGTGTGGCTGGTAGCTTTATCAACACCATTGTTAATTATAGTATTGCGTTAGGGTTGGCACTAGCGGGGAATTTGGAGGCTGCCACTAATGATGGTGGTAGGGACAGACTGAAAGGTTTCAGAGCAGCGTGGTACTTGGGGGCGGGGTTTGCGGCGTTGGGGATGGTTATGACCGCTGTTTTCCATAGGGGGATGGCGAAGAGGCATAATTAGATGGAGCTGTAATTGTTGATAATATGTGTAGTTTCTTCATGAAATATCACTCGGCTAAGTTTGCTTGAAATAAAGACTCTCATTGACTAATTGATGATTGATAATTTATTTATTATAGAAATAGATCCCCTTAATTAACTTATCTACCTATTATTCATTGGGTGTTCAAGGTTGGTCGGTGCGGCCCGATTGAAAGAATTTATACAGATATAGACCAGATGCGCCCTAGTTTATCTTTCTCTATTTCTACTTCCGTAGAGGATTTGAATAAACTAGAAATAAACCGCATCCAGGGAAAGAGAAATTAAACCGACCTGTTTATCAGTTAGAAGAAAAGATACTTAACGTATATTAGCTTAGTGCCGAACTATTCAATTAATGAATTATCAATTAATCCATCATTAGTGCCAAAATATTTAAGGGGTATATGACAGTTGTGAGAAACCTCAAATGTTGAAACAGGGATATCAGGTTGAGTGCGCCGTGTTATCGCCTGTGAGCCACTTGTTTTTAGGGCCTGTTCGGACAAGCATAGATTATTTCTTTGGATTATTCGACCGATTGGATTACCAGGTACCGAAAATAATAATCCTAATACTCATCATAATCATTGAATAATCTACATGTTTGGATCACATTGCAATAGCATAAGATCATCAAATATGTATCAGGATATATGTTTTGTGTGGGAATAATTACATACCTCCGAAGGCGATTATTTTCTTGGCTTAGATTATTCAATTTCACGAACAGAGTAGAATCTTATAATAATCCAAAAATCGATATATAATCCGCCAGATTATTGAGGCCCTTATACCTTCAAACCTCACCACACCTTGCAATACTAAGGGTCATTAATGCTTTCGCGCCATTACTATCTCAATAGTTGGTCCATACAGTCGAATCACCCTAAGTATAAGCTACCGTTTCCCATGTTCGCCAACGAACCGGGATAGACTATACAATGTGTGTGTATACAGCTTGGCAAACATGAGGAGGGCGTTTTAAAGATTCTCTGAACACAGCGCTCCCTAAGAATAATATGGATTATCATTATCCTGTTCATTCTGCAAGCCCTCGTACACAAATATACATTTCATAGATATATATATATCTCTTCAACACTAATCTCGATCATCATCAATTATGGCCAATAAAGGTGTAGAGAACGTTCGAAAAAGTAACAAAAAAAAACATCAATATCCGGTGCCCCAGAGACTACGTAATCGTCTACGATATAAACTATAGAAATAGTAAACCAGCGCGTGAGAATAAGAATAAAAAAATATAAAAAACAAAATAGTATACATCGAATCGTAAATATGAAGTTGAAAGAAAAGAATAAACAATCGTAGAAGGATATCATAATAACGGGCGGGGCAAAGCCAAGCCAACCCAGTGACAGAAAAGGCTACTGAAAACGAAATTCATGGTATAAGGTGAATATCAAAGTGTAAAACGCCTGAGCCAATGAAAGAAAAGCGCCACAAGTCAAAAGGAAGGGAAGATACCGGGTAGACCCACGATATGGTGAAAAAATCTATCGAGGGAAACCTTGAAAGATTCGGATGCTACCACAACCACTGTGCAGGTGCTACCACATGAACCACGCGGGAATATAGTAGCCGAACCTCATCACGGTTCCACTCTACGGCTTCTTTTTTCACATACCGAATCCCAATCCACGAAATACGAAAATTCAGAAGGCAAAGAATGACAAGAAATGTCGTGGGGTGGCGAGAAAAAGAATAGGGAAAATGCACTACTGTAGAGCCTTGCTTAAGTCTCGTATTTCTTCATCTGAAAGCGAGGCTATCCAGAGACACCGTTCACAGACACCATCAACAGCCTTAAAATCGTACTTATGAGATGCTTCTATTAGGCGAAGAAGTCTCTTGACAATTGCAGCCGTAGTCCGGTGCCGCTCGAAATTTACAAGTGATTCAGTTGTTGGCGATGTAGCAATAAATAGGGCGCGCTGAGCGTTGAGAATCAGATCATGAGTGAATATTCCTATAACAAAGCTGCGTTTCAGCAAATATACCCACTAGCGTTAAAGCAGGATCTCGTACCAACAAAAGGTATGCAGCCTGATTCTCCGGTTACTTTATCCATTTCTGTACGGAGATTGTGGAAATTTCGCACAGGCTGAACCAGAGCTTCCATCTCTTTGAAAGTGCTCATGTCTGCAGCAGAAATGATACTCCATGTTTTTCGCAAACGAGCCACATCTGCAGTTAAAAGCGCGATTGTTATTTGGTACATCGTGGCAAAGTTCTGAAGTCTTCGAGCATGAGCGGCCACATGAATCAATTTGACGATTGTCTTCGCTCGCTCGTGGACGTCCTTCGTCATGACAATTTCAGACCTTGCCCATTTACACATCTATCCGCTATTAGTAACAGAGTTGACAATAGAGTCAAGGTGGACTAACCAGATTAAATCTCGCAATAACCACTTCAACTCCCCTAATATCTTTAGAATTCAAAAACTCAACCCAATCTCTGACGTTAGAACTTGTTTGACTCCATCTCAACTCCACGAGTTCCTTCCAGTCCACCTCCATCAAAGCATCCTTCTCTATCAATGTAAACTGCTTTGCAAGAAGCTCTGAATCGTAGGCAAGGATAAATGGTAAGTGAATTGAGGAGGGCTGAATTGTCGTCTCTAGAGTAGCATTTCGGCTATCTTCAGGTTTGTTTGAGGAAACATTTCCTGATGAGTCCATTTGCTGAAATGCTCCTGCTTGAGGCCTTGGAACAACTGGATCCTGCGCTACTTTGGTAGCCTGGGCAGAATTTAACGACATAGTCGATTTAATATTAGGTGCGGGCGAAGGAGTATGTCGGAGAGGATGTGAAGGTATTCCAAGTTCTGCAATAATCGTACCGGGTTGTATCGGTGGAAATGTTGAAGAGACAAAGTTTCCCGGTGATACCGGCTGAAATGACATTTCTGATGAAAGTTCGCTGGTGTCGTCCCTGGGGTACTCTTTAGACTTGATCAAATGCTTCTCCAACCCCAGGTCTATACTTCTTAGGGCGATATCATTAGAGGAAGGATGCGGCAATAATGTACGGTGTAGGATTGGTGTAGAATTATGAGACTGTTCCGCGCCATCAATAGCGGTAAGCGGTTGATTTGACGCTCCTCTTTCATAATAATGGGATGTATTGGTGACCAGGCCTTGTTCTAGCAAGTGTCCAGCCTCTTCCAATCCTTCAATGGTCATTGCAATCCCCACAGAGTTAATATCCACTTGTTGTGTGACTAAGCCTATTTCTTCGGAAGGCACATTTTTTGATGAGGTTTGATCGAAAACCTGCTTTTGCCTTCGTTTCATTCTTTTTTGATGATCTTCTTCGTCATTTCCATCCAGCCCAAATGCACACTCCGATACATGCTCTTCAGCCGTTATCATAGACGAATCTCGAGATTCATGCGGATCTTGCGCAAGATGTCTCGAAGTTATTTTGTCCTCTGTAGGAGAATTTTCTGATGACTTCTTTTTCTGATACGTGCCTTCTAGTTTCATCAATGCAACTTCGATCCCTCCATCGTCACTTTCAGTATCTGGAAGATCCCGGAGCTTCTGGACACCCACTTCGAATGAAAGCCTTGGGTCTAATCCCAATGAGCGAGCAACAGTGTGACGTCTCAAAGTACGAGAAGGCCTTGGGAGAGAGATACCGCCCTGTGCCACCGCTCCAAGAGAAATCACTCCGGCTAAAAATTGCTGATGAGGTGATTCAGCCCTTGATGTCGCTATGGTAGACGCTGGTCTATGATATACTGATATCCCAAAGGTGTCTGCTGTGGAAAATGTTGCGGTATCGACAGAACCTGTAGACCTTGGTCTAGGCATATCCATGTCACCCAAAGTAGCGGCAGCTCTCAGGTCTCCACCTGGCCTGCGCCGTAACATTCTTGAAGGTTGGAGGTCCAACCTTCTCCTACTACCAGAAGAACGGGCGTTTCCAAAGATCTCAGAAATATCGTCCATACCAACGCTATATTGACTTCGACCCGAGTTTAACCGCTTTAACGAGAAGGATCTCGCAGAATGTAAAGACATGTTATCAACACCAGCAATTTGTGACAGGTAAGGGTTTTTTTGAAAGCTCTCAAAAGAAAACGATTTGCTCCTTCGAGGTAATCGAGAGTTCCCGGAGAAAATAGCTGAATCCATCTCCGTAGACGAAGGCTTAGCCTGAGGCTGCTTGATACCCTCGCCCTGCTCACTCCCTTGGGGCTTTCTTACTTGTAAAGGTACGAAGCTGCGGTGCGACTGTTCATCATCATACATGCTGCGTTGCCTCTTTGTCGATTTTGATGGAGCAGTGTCTGTGATATCTGGTGATGCGCTTCCATCTTGACTAACATTACTCCCAACTTCTATCATTTCATCCACTTGCCCGTCCATCACCTCGTTTAACTGGGCACTGTTTTCTTGAATGTCTGTATCGCTGTTTTCAAAATCCCCCTGTTCCCACTGAGTTTCCTCAAGAGTTACCTCCTCTTGCATTGCCCGCTCGAAAGCCTCAACGACACCGGCCCCCAGTAAATCGATCCTCGCAGCCCTTGAATCGCCTGACATTCTACGGTTCCCCTCTTGGGCATTGACAGTTATGAATCTTGCTACAGATGAGTTTTGTGGCGAATTTGTTCCTGGAGACCTTTGATGAGGGTTTCTATACCCCATGGACGGCGAGTTCATTGTACCATTTGTGAAGTTCCCACCTACCTTCCCACTCAACGCTCTCCTAACACTTCCCAAAAACTTTTTCATGCCAGGACTATTAGCATTTTTATTATTGTGATATTGTTCGTGTTGGGTTTTTTGAAGATTCCGTCTTCCCATTGTACCATTATTTGACGAGTTCAACGTCGTGAGTGCGCCAAAATTGGATAATTCAGCTACCGGCGTTGATGGAGCCATGACCTCTACATATGCCTGCGTTGGCGGAAATAGGTTACCTCGAACTAATGACCCAGCATATGGAAAGGCCATTAGCAAATGCGTAGACCGTGCGAGAGATTTTGGCAGTGGTAAAGGCTGCCTTGTATCTCTCAATGCATCCGAAAAGGATCCCGATCGTTTATGAGGCGACGGCCGTAATTTTCTGGTCAACTCATCGGTGTTGGTAGTACTTACCGGGGTAAGTGTCCTGGTCGATTTTGGTTTCAGAAAGAATTGAGCAGGTTGAGCTGTTGGGGTATATCGACCTGTGATCGATGCACGTTCTGGGGCGAAACACGGGAGAGAGGGTGTCTTTACTTGATCGCTGCTAGAATTACTGGATGGTCTTGATGTGAAACGTTGAGTCTTTTCTCGCCCGTCCCTCGATCCTGCCGGTGCCTCTACAACTTGCCTGATAAACGCATCAGTCCCAGAGCTGTGATCCGGCAGTAAAGACTCCAGCCTAGGTGCTGCGGTCCGCGGTCTTAGCAGGGTAGAGTGAGATCTCTCACGCCTAATCCCGGGTGGGCCTCCAGCAACGATATCTTGATCGATACTCATTTCCAAACTTATTGAGCTATCCCAGTACAAGGCGCATGTCCTTCTCCAGCATCTTTTGAGTTCTCGAATGATTTTCATATCCGATGGATTCGCCTCACTACGGATGTCATTCGACAACTCATTTAATGCTCTAACAAATTGTTCTCTCAAAGGGAATGAAGGGACAAAATCATCGGCGAAATAGTTCAGTAACCAATGCCTAATTGCAACAAACGTCCGTACTCGTACGACTCTTCCAGTATCATCATCCCGATTAAAAGCCCAGCGCAACCTTGTGATTAGATAGGCGACTAGGTCTGAGGGCGACATGAATAGGCGGAAGGTGAGAAAGAAATCGGAGAGAAGATGATAGTCCACAAATTTCGCAGATGTTATTTGCGATATTATCCGCGCAGGGATGGCGGCACTGATTTCTTGGCGCGAATCATATCGAACTATCAATGGGTCCTCAGAGCTTGGCGGAAAAGAAAGGTCATCGTAAATATCAGGATCTATCCGTCGACGTGGGGTAGACGGCATAAAAGAGGACAGGGACATGAGAGGGATTTGAACATCAGATGTTGGTGAGGATATAATGGAGGGCGAAGGTATGGGGCTTGGAATGGCGGAGGCTAAGAGTGATGTCGGATCAGCACCTGGCCAAAGCCACCGGACGTCTGCGTAGTGAGAAACGGTTGATGCCGTGCCCAGTTCACCTTGGATCGACGGGATATGCAGACTCGATGCACCGTAGAGAAAAGGCGTACCATTGGGCGAAAAATGAGGAGACCCCAAATTATAATGCGGAATCTGAACGTCAAGTGTCTGAAAAGGCTTCGGATGACCAGCCGTTCTTGGCCTCATCCGCTCCCCACTGGGACCATCCACCTGATCCACCTTCATTCGAAACCCCCCCAGATCTGGTGGCTTAAAAGATGGACAATTGTCATTGATAGTACTATACGAATGGGCCCTATTATTTCTGGTGCGTGGCATTGGTGGGGAAGATTTAATGAATGTATCATATTCATCTTGCTCTCCACTTCTCGTCCTTGGGGGTGTTTTTGGAGGAGGTGTTGGGGGTAGTTGCTTTCTAACTCGTCGATCGCCCACATCTATGTGGTCTTGTTGCCAACCCTTGTTGTCTCTCTCTTCAGCAGAATTTGGTGGAGTATTCGGGGGTAGTACGAATTGCTGTTGTTGTAGTTCGTGCGCTGGTCGAATAACAGGTCTATCAAAGAAAATAGAAAATATACGAATCAGCAAGAAATATATCTTGAACAACCTTTTTCATTCACATCTTTTGATTTACAGAGACTCGTCCCAAGACACGGTTAACGGATGATTTATTGATATCTGTATATGCCGTCTGTCCAAAGAAAGAGATAAGAAGGATAATAGAGAGTAGAATGATACCTGAGGTATATCATGCCACCACTGACACCTCCTACAGTAAACTGCTGCCCACGGTTCGCATGGCTCTGGGCAGTTGGCTTCGACATATAACCCTTGTCCCTCATTCGGGGCCGCTCAAAACTCGACTGTCCCCCATCAATCATAGCATTATGTCGTTTTCGTTCCGGGCTTTCTACAGGAGTGGTGGTCGGAGTAGGAAATTTTCGGTCAGGTCTTCGCCGGGGGTCGTGGGTGTGAATCCGTTGCAACAATGCCGGGGATGGAGTAGGTTGGATGCAAAGTTCGGAGAGAGGCTCGTCCATCGCCAAGTTTGCTCCAGACGACGAGGACCCTTTCTCAGAGTCTGAACCAACACACAGCCGAGGAGCAATTAGGGTGATGTCGACTTCTGTAGTATTGAAAGTGATGGAGAATTATTTCTTGTAAAGGGGATGACAATAGTAGAGACAGAGCTAGAGAGTGGCCTCGACGAGGAGGTCACTTCTCCGGGCTCCACGAAAGCTGAAAGGTTAATTTAGAAGCTGGGACCGAAATGGCTACCGTAACATTCGACAAAAAAGCATAACTGTCCAGAAGGAAAAGGCGAGTAAGCGGAATAGATTCGTACAGATAAATCGACAGATGGATTGAGCAGCAGTGTAGAAAGACCTTCGACTTGCGGCGTGAGTATCCCAGAAACTAATGTGAGAATATTCGTCGGAATAGTTGTGATGTGGTAAACAAGATCTGAGTTGAGTTCCGGTCTGCCTTCTTGTTTGCCTTAGTTTCCGTGTTTTCGGTGTTGATTTCTTGTTTTGTATATTTTTGTTTTGTTTTCGACCTGTCCAACTACTTTTCCGGTATGCCAATTACCGGTTGGCTAGAAACGGGAGCGAGGGAAGAGTAGGACTCATCCAAAGGGGGAGCGAGCGATGAACCGAGATCCTGGGATGAACTGGGTACTTAACTTATATAGAATAAACTATTTTCGCCCCGAGGTTTTCAGGGACTCTGTTCAGAAATTTCAACAAGGCAGGTTGTGCGGCAACATTCAACTTACATACACCCACGCGGACCTCGTCCGAAGATGAGAAAGATGAGGAACGATGGATGTGCGGGTTTGCTTGCCTACCACAGCACAGACATGGCCCTGTAGGACCCCAAAGATTCCAGGATTCTGGTTCGTCCAATAACACCCTGCTCGAGGGCGCACACGCATTACTCGATAAAGCTAGCTGACGTTTTACCCCTGTATAAGCACCTGGGTTAGGTAACATTCATCATGCATGCAGCTCGCGTGCGCTTGGCGCATAACTTCTACACAGAATTAAAGATTCGAGGACCCGAACTGTTTAAGCCAGAGCTGTTCGAAGAGCGTAAATAACTACATGTACTTGAGAAAGACCTTAGTAGCGGTGTGTAGCGGTGTGTAGCTACATACATGTAGCTAAGTTACTTTGTGCTAGTAGAACTCAACAAAAACTTTCTAAATTACAGCTGGGCACATATCACTCGGCTACGTTACAGCTATACATGTAATTGACACTCACCCCTCCCTGCCAATTGAAATAGGACCATAGAAAACTAATAATCTAAGCTTTCGGCCAAGAGGTAAACCCCAGCTTATTTCGCATTAACAATTGAGAGAGTACGTCTCAAAAATACCAAATCAATCATTACCCTATTAAGCCCATGGCCACTAGGCAGAATCAAACGCTAGTTCAAATTTGCGCTTGCTATTTCCATGTGTTAAATACATGTACCTATCGTTTATTTGCCAGTTTCGCTATTTAGGAAATGGCTTCATCTACTTAATTAACTGTATCTAGATAATCAATCTTTTCGCATTTTAAATATTTCAATGCACTGCATCATATACACGTATGTATTGCATGCTCTGATATTGTAGTATGCGCCCTCATGATACATGTACTGATTATTGTAGTTTTGGCACGGGCTCCTGAATTCAAAGTAATACCTTTTTTGACCAGATTCGTTCAATTCAAGAGCTTTGAGAAGCCTTATAAACTCGACCGCTATGAGACATCGATACCGAAAAGACAGAGGATTTATGAATATTGACTATAACAATATGGCCTGTATACATCGCAGCAGCAATACTCCACGAGTAGGTAATCAACCTCCGTCCTTTGAGATATTTCTACTTATTCCGACGTCATTAATTTCGACAGAAGCTGTCTCTACAATAGAGCGTATTTACTAACCATCAATTCTAACAATTAACACCCCACCACGATCCAAAGTGGCATCCACGAGTGTCAATTTTCGGTGGGGTCGTTTAAGGATACCAAATACACTCAGAGGACACTACCATACATCTTAATATCCTGTTGCGGCTTGCGCATTTCGTATCCCTATGGAGGGGAAGCGTCAATTTTGCATTTTGCAACCCACCGTCAATTCCGAAGTGTCAATTGTCAAAAATGACATGACACTTAGTAGATACGCTCTATTAAATCGGAATCTTAAATATAATATTATACCGTAGGAATACCGTAGGAATACCGTAGGAATACCGTAGGAATACCGTAGGAATACCGTAGGAATACCGTAACCCCACGGTATTTTGCCAGATACTGCGGTATGGTACTGGATCCACCCGCCTTTTTGGTACTGTATTCTTTATATCAGTAAAGTGGCAGATATATGTCTAATCCGGCATATATACAAGTACATAATATATATACATGTATATAATATAAGCCTGTATGTATGTATATGCCTAGTCCTGGCTACATGTAGTCGAGGAACGAGTGACACGACAAAAGCCTGGAACCATATTAATGAGGGAGAAATCTCTTTTCTGATTATGTATTTCTGGCAGGATGGGTCGATCTAAGGCCTAAGTGAATCCTAGCAGACTTTTGATGTCTCTCTGTTGAGATTGCCAAGACGACGGCGTTCTAGCTCGAGTAGGTACATGTACGGAGGCAATGTATGTAGTTATCCCTTGCTGTTACCCTCCACTTCAATCCTGGACTGACACGAGAGCCTGTAAACACCAAACAAGCAAGCATCCTCCCCATCCTCCCGTATGCCCTTCCCCACCTGCTAACAGTAATTAAGCTTCGGTCTTTGCGTCACATAGCTACCTCACCTCCCCCAAAACATCTCGATATAACACATCTCTTCAGCCCCGCACGATCGCTCTTATCGCAAATCTCTTCACCGCCTATTAGACTACATCAGTCTAGTCACATAGCTATCATGTCTTTCCTCTTTGGCAGAAACCGTCAAAAAACCCCACAGGATCTTGTTCGTGCTGTTCGAGAATCCATATCACGTTTGGATGTACCGCTGGAGAGACGACGTGTGAGCCAACCCCATGTCCCCTTTCAACACAGTCCCAGTCTTTACAATACTGAAAAATAGTCGGTTCTTTTTAAGGCCTCTGAAGAAGTATCACGGCTATTGGCCCAGATGAAGGTTGTCCTACAAGGAAACGCAGGTCCGTTAGCTCATACTTTCGCGATCCCTAGTTACGAGCGGGAATCCACAAACATCTTCAGAGCTTCGTTGTTAATAGTTTTTAAACAGAAACCGACCCCATTCCTGATCAGGTACAAGTTCTTGCTCAAGAGGTTTACGCAATCGATTTATTGCCGCTACTTGCGAATAATATACAGAAGCTTGACTTTGAGGTGGGCGCCCTACATATTTAGCTAGCCTATAAAACCCTCATCAAGCCTTTCAGTCAGCCTCCCAAGCTCTGAGTTAACTAACCACTCACGCCAAATAGGCTAAGAAAGATGTTACTGCTCTTTTCAACGGTCTTCTCCGATATTGTCCCCAGCCTATAAATAGATTTCCTACTGTCGAATACTTGCACAATAGTCGGCCCGATACGCTCATTACGCTCGTGAAGGGCTACGAAAACAAAGATGTTGCTAACAACTGTGGGACTATCCTCCGGGAGAGTTTTAAGCATCAAGCACTAGCACAAGTAGTTCTTTACGATGAGAGGTTTTGGAAATTCTTCGAATACGTACAAGGCGGGAGCTTTGACATTGCCAGTGATGCTTTTGGCACTTTTCGGGTTCGATTCCCCAGACTCTTTATACATTTTATATAACCTTATTTTCTGATTTTTTATTCCAGGAACTTTTAACTAAACACAAACCAATGGTTGCACAATTTCTCAACCAAAACTATGCACGAGTATGTGTAACTTCTTTTTATTCACCTCTCTTTGTTCCCCCTTGACACATCACCATATGTTATACTGGTTCTAAATAAATTACTACCATTAGTTCTTTCAAAAATACAACACCCTCTTAGACTCACCCAATTATGTTACAAAACGACAATCAATCAAGCTTCTCGGGGAGATATTGCTGGACAGGGCAAACTACAATATAATGCTCGCATATGTTGACTCACCGGATCACTTGAAATTGACAATGAACCTATTAAGAGACAAAAGCAAAAATATTCAATATGAAGCCTTTCATGTCTTCAAGGTATTTACCCCTTTGGATGGTTACCTTGGGATAGCTGCTAAACTTGGATTAAAGGTTTTTGTTGCAAATCCCAAAAAATCAAAGCCTGTACAGGATATTCTATTAAAAAATCGTGAGAAGTTGCTCGCCTTTCTGCCCAAGTTTCATGACGACCGAAGAGGTAAGGCCGTCCCTAGCTGTATGTTTGAAAAAGAGATTTAATCCAATCCGTGATAGAGGACGAACAATTCATCGACGAAAAGGGATTTTTGATGAAGCAGATCCTTGAGTTAGGCAACTACCCGCCCCAGCAACAAATGCACCCAGGCGTTGTCTCTGCTTGAATGTGGGCCAGGTTGCTTCTCTAGCAATGTTATGTGTTCCAGTTTATTACGTTTGAATGTACGGTGGCAAAGGCTGGGTATACGGGACCCGGTACAGTTATCGATGGAGGCAACATCAAGGACCGAAATTCGTAACGGAGGCCGTTAATAACGACAATGATGATAACGACGAAAAATGATGACCATGATGAGATATGGAGTTTAAGGGACCGGAGTTCTTTGCATCACTCCTTTCTGCGTTTTGGATTGCTTTAGTATCTGCCAGCGTTCAGTCTTAATTCTAATTCCATGTTTGTTGTAACTGATAATCTCTCTTTTGCAAAAACTATCATCTGTTTTATTCATTTCGGTTTCACCCTAGGCAGTTAGGGATTCGGTCTTCTCTTGGGAACGAGCGCTCGAACAAACTTCCAAGCACAAGGCTTATCCCTAGTTTGCATAAGAACATACTCCCGATGTAAAGGCTAGCAATGGTTGGTAATTCATTGGTATATACTTATAAAGCCAAGTCTCTCTATCGGTACCGCATAAAGGTAGTCTCTCTATCCCTTAAGTTGTTCCTTAAATGCTGCCAACATAAGACATGGTAACATCAGGCGAGCCTCGCACGCAAGCCACAGAATTGAGACATGATACTTGGTAAACAGCATAAGGGATAAAAGCACCAATTTTCTCAATAATACATAGCTACGTGTATATATAAAAGTCTGGTCTAACGCACCATTACCAAGAAATCTGACTGTAGCGGTGTTCTTGCAATGAAAATAATCTTCCATCGTGTAGGCACATGTACCTTACATGTATCTGCATATAATAAAGGAGCAGCCTGCACACAGCGATCCTTAGCATCGCCTATTATGACATTTTAAAATTCGAGATAAACATGTAACTTAGTAACAAATATACGTAAAAGACAGCTCACGTGCAGATACGTGCCAGGTGCATGTACACCAATGAAGTCCTAAAAAGTAACAAAACGGCCTTGGATCGAGCTGAACACGGCTGGGACAACGTTATCATCCCAGCCGCCAACTATAATGGATAATCATCATTGACCTATCTTTTCCTCGTAGACCCACCAGCACTGCTGTTTATAAAGTACCTCGAGTGTCCTCTAACCCTCGAGTGTTCTCTAAGGTCCTCCCTTGCCCAAATCACCCTTGCTTGAGACCTTTATATAAACCCTAACCCTGCACCACTACCCCGCCATGGCCACCTCTAACTCCAGTATCACTTACTCTTCTGGTGCCGTCGGTGAAGTTGATTTACGTTTATTGCATTTCAATGATGTAAGCAATTCTATTACACGGGGTGTACCGAGGCGTTCAGTAAAAAGCTGTGAAACGGGGCGACCTTTCACGACCTTTTACTGAACGCCTAAGTATTACTTACATGTATTTCCTGCGTTTGCTAACATCCTTGATACACCCATAAAGATCTATCACATTGAGGCTGGGTAGCGACCCCTATCTTCCATACCGTCATCTTCGACCAACTAATGAATCAATCAAAATTACAGCTCCCGTGAACCAGTTGGTGGTTCTGCCAGATTTGTCACCTTAACCAACCATTACCGCGACGCTCCAGAGTTTCAAGGCCAGCCAGCACTCCTAACCTTTTTCTCCGGGGATGCTTTCAATCCTTCTCTCGAGTCCACCGTCACAAAGGGACGACACATGGTTCCCATTCTGAATAAGATTGGAACAGATGTCGCCTGTCTGGGGAATCATGATTTGGATTTTGGTGTTGAACAATTCAAACATCTCGCGGAGCAGTGCAACTTCCCTTGGCTTGTAGCAAATGTCGATGACCCCGCTCTTGGTGAAGGGGTCAGTATAGGCAGTTTGTCTAAAACATTTATATTGGAGAGCAGCAACGGCTTGAAGGTGGGAGTGATCGGTCTAGTGGAGAAGGAGTGGCTAGATACGATCAATGCTTTACCGCCAAACTTGAAATATACAAACTCCTCTGACGCTGCGAGGGCCTTGGTGCCCACTTTGAGGGATGCTGGAGCCGATATTATAGTTGCTGTGTCCCATCAGAGAGAGCCGAATGATGTAAGTTAATCTAGTTATAGTATATCGTCCCACTTAATTAAATAGCAACTAATGGCGAATAGATTAAACTTGCCAATGACATTCCTGCTGGTCTTATTGACATTATCCTAGGAGGGTATTGTTCACACCTCTACACCTATCAGGCTTAGAGCGTTAACTAATTTCACCTAGACATGATCATCATTATGCGCATGAAATCATCAATGGATGTCACGTTATCAGATCCGGTTGTGACTTCAAGCAGCTTTCATACATTGAGGCTCGCAAAAAGAGCAAAGATGGCTCTAAGCCAGGTTGGAACTTTGATATTGTCCGAAGAGATATAACGAAAGAAATGTACGGGACCCCTTCTCCCTACTATATTCTACCAGACCCCCGGACTGACCCAATAACCCAGACCCGAGGACCAGCCAACAGCAGAAATCGTAGATGAGTTGACTTCCAATCTAAAGGCGAAATTATCAAAACCTATCGGATTTACAGCTGTTGATTTGGACGCTCGATTCGGCACCGTACGAGCTTCAGAATCGAATCTGGCGAACTTTGTGTAAGCTGCTATACTGAATGCCACTAAGACAGATTTGCTAACATGCAATGCTCAGGTGCGATGTAACTCGGTCCTATTACTCGACGGATTGTTCATTGATGGCCGCAGGGACGATGAGAGGAGATCAGATTTATCCCCGAGGTGTTCTCAAGCTCGGCGATATTGTCAAATGTTTCCCATTTGAAGATCCGGTCGTAGTTATCCGAATTCCTGGCGCGAGTATCAAAAAAGCGCTCGAAAACGGCATCTCAAAACTTCCCGCCTTTGAGGGGCGTTTCCCACATGTTAGTAACATATTCTACGTATATAACTCTTCACTACCAGCTGGAAATCGCATTGTGTCTTGCAAGATCAACGGCGAGGACTTAGTGCCAGATAAAAAGTACACAATGGCTACTAGGCTCTACATGGCGACTGGCAGAGATGGATACGAAGCTTTAACACCTGAGCACGGCGGAGCGGAATTTGTTGTCGACGAGGAGAACGGCACCCTCATAAGCACTATTCTCCGCCAATACTTCTTGTCTCTAAAGGTTATGGGCAAATGGCAATGTGGTGCACTCAAAGAGATCTTTGGGGGCCTCAGGAGCTCGCAGGCCAAAAAGGGAGAGCTCATGCAAAACCATGTCGCAGATGCAGCCGGGGCGGATGATGATAATACAACTCTCTCAGGTCTGACCAAGAGGTCAGCGCACTTGGCTGAGAGCTTTGGGAAAAAATGGGCAAATCGGGCGGGTATTGTGGACTGGACCAGTAGTATTGCCCCGAAACTAGAAGGAAGAATTGAGGATATCAAATCTAAGCAGGAAATGGATAAATAGCCATCTATAGATCAAGCATCTATACTCTGCAATTAATTCTGCGGCCGAGCCCTTTAATATTTCTAGAGTATACGAAAATGTTCCATGTCTACTGTTTTTTTTTAAAAAAAAATTGCCCGTGAACCTAAAATTTCACTTACCCAGCTCACTCTAGTAGCCGTATAAAATTCATCAAATGATTTTTCTCCCATACAAAAACACGTAAATCCGTTGAATTAACACATTTACACCCGATATTATTAGTAATTATATCCAAAGATACATTTATATATTAGGTCCTTTGCATACGACTTATAGATAACCGTTGTATGACTTTCAGACGAGTACTTAAATCGACCACAGCAGCTAAGATGATATCTTTGAGGACGACGCCGCTCCATATAAATCATCCTTATACTGAGTACAAGTTGCTTTCTGGCTCTTTTGGTAAGAGGCGAGCACGGTACCGATATACATATAGCTCAGAGTTGAAACCTTGAATAATCTTTAAACATAAATCCCATATGTGTATGTATATACTACACGCCTAATCATGATCATGTGCCCTTCTTATCTTGATTGTGTTGCTCGCAGTAGTGATACAGTACTACTACATAACAAATGAACTATGCTTCAATAATTATAATGCCTTCTGGATTTAAGTGTTTGCGAATTTAGCCATATGGGATAGGAGCATTTACTTTAGAGTTGAAGGTAATGCGACTATCCGGTCTAGTCTATTCCCGATCGACAAAGCTTGTGAATAAGCTTTACGGAAGCCAGTATGTCACGAGGGCAGGTATGGGCATGTGTTGGCGGGGGGAGTTGTATTTAGGGTTGGGATGGGCGATTGGGGGACTCGACCTCACATCCATTTACATACAGCATCTGGTATACAGTTGTTGGTAGAAGGCGGGGGAAGTATCATTCCAGCGTTACAAAGCTCTCGCTTGCTGGTAGAAATACAAACACTGCCAAAAAGGGCAGTGTGTTCTATGTACATGCGATTCTATCAATAAAAAAACACAAGAAGCTCAAACAGCAGGCCAACCATAAACCTACTACTGGCCAAGGCCCAACATGTACCAGCCATATCCAGCACAGCAATCAGAAACGTTACCCATAAAAAGCATAAGAAAAACAGTTAACTCCTCATATAAAAACGCCAATCAACCCTGCCACACCTCTCTTCTCCTACTAGTCCTCGAACTCCCTCCACCGCCCCCGCCGCCGCCTGGCCGTCTCTCTTCCCCACCCGACCTAGTACTCCACTTGACCTCGCCATAGTAATAATCCAGCACCTCCGGATACCTCTCTACGGCCGCCTTCCAGTCCTCACTGATGGCCCTTTGCAGACTGAACGCCATCTCTTCCCGCTGCCATCTCGGCGCTCTCGCCCCATAGTCCAGCAGCCACCGCTCGTAGGCCGTCTTCCGCCGCGCTTCCCGCGCTCGGAAGTCTCGGTGGATTGCAGCGCGCGCTTGTGTGGTTACCCATGTACTATATATTGGGGACTCGTTAGCTATGCTATGAGGGCAAGGCGGGAGCTAGAATGGTAGAGAGGAAGGACTAAGTACCGGATCTCGTCGTACATGGGCTCCAGCACTCGCTGCTCGGACTCCTCGACGGCATGCACAAGAGTACGGAATTCGCAGTCGCAGCGGTTCTTGGGAGGGCCGTCGCAGATGGCGCAGTTTGGGTCCATGTCTTCTGGGGATTGAAGGGTCTTTATTGGGGAATATGTATGCTAACGAGGGTATATGTGTAGGAATGCGCTGTGGCCTCTATCTAGACCGAGACTGGGGGAAGGTAATTAGAAGCCTTCTGCTGATACTGGCGGGCCGGGTCTTTATAAATTGAGGCCCTGCTGCTGACCCGACGAGAGCTCTTGAGAATAAATGCGAACTAACCTATTCTTTTACGATGAGGTGGTATGTATGTACCATACGTGTGATAGACGACAATCAAATAAGTTGTGGGGATTTGCCCGGAAAGTGCTAGTCTGGAAGGGTACTTGCGAGCGAGGCAGACTTTATTATGTATGTAATCGCAAGACACCCGGGGTCGGGATATGGTTGGCTGGAGAGCTTGGCTGCATTATGTACAGCTGAGGTGGTGGGTGGTGGTGGTGGTGCCGCGGGCGGGGTCTGCAATCCAATCTCCTCTCTTTCCAGAAAGGCCGGAAAAAGAGTCAAGGGAATTCCGAATGGGACATGTGCATTTTTTACCAAATTGCAATAGGGACGATTACGTTGCGCAGCTGATGTACCCTAGGCTGTTAGTCATAGGTCATCACTCGCACTAAGTACATACCTACATAGGGTTGGCCCGGATTTAGGTGGAGAAACACAATGTTGCAATTCGACTACCAATATGAAAATCGCGAGGTTGTAAATAACAGCTGCTGCCTAACTTTCCATTAGTTGCAGTGCTTTTCGAAGAACCTTCAGCCTCGTCTCCATACACGAGCCCGGAGGTGCGGGCTTCACCAATGCCGGACGTTGAAGATGTTATCTTTCAGTAAGGGGAGCCAAATGGAGGATGTAGCCCTCCTCTCCCATGAACATCGCAAGGAGTGCCCTAACAAGTGCACATAAGCTGTGCTACATACACATAGGCCAGTGTCTGCCTCGTATTACCGTCACCTCACAACCACTAGGAACAGCGTCCACCCATTTAGTGCTTAGTAATGCCTCGGCAGGTTCCGAAGTTGGTTGGTCGCTAAAAAGCTTAAATCCACAGCCAATCAACGTCATCCCGCATGCAATCCGCAGGATTCCGCACAGCCCAACCAGATCGAAAAGCTCCGCTGTTCGGAAAGATATAACCTAAAGGCTCCAACTCAATCCCATTGCCCGAGAGCTTATCCCTTGGACGCATGAGACATTTGGAGAATCTCTCTCATGCATTAGTGCGAGTTGGCAGTCATGTGACCTAGAATTTGGCTGAGAAAACGTCTGGGTAAGCAGTTTGCTGCATTTATCAGTCTTTGGAATACTCAGAGATGCCAAAAACTTCGCAAGTTGCTGCTTTATTACAGTAAATCGTTTCCCAGATAGGCCACGCTAATGCATGAGAGAGATTCTCCAAGTGTCTCATGCGTCCAAGGGATAGCTGAGGAGAAAGCTCCGTCTCTCTCTGTGTCAAAATTAAAAGCGCCACCGGCCAGGACTTCCAGCCCACGCTTTGACAACCAGCGGGCGGGTGTGTCGCACATAGCCCTTCTTCCTCTGCGCGACTATCTCTCCGCCCAAACCAATGGACGGATAACGGGGTTGCGAAAGGTAGGGCGGCTGAGACCTCTAGGCGCGCGAGAGAAAAGCTCTTCACTGGATAACACGTATGTACCTGACTACATGTACATATATACGTACTAACTAACGCTGAGACAGTCCGCTGTGCCTCTGCGCTACAGTGGGGGAGGGCCGGTGGCCAGTGCATCCATTGATCGTGCGGCTCAGCCACGGTAGCTATCTACTTTGCAGAGTCTACGCATTCTAGAGCATTCACGTGTACTCGTACTCGCCCTGGCCAGGGTACATTGCTAACATGCGTGTAGTTGGAGTAAAGTGCTGATTTTAGATCCTCAAGAGTCAACTGGGACATGAGTTCCATCATCCCGGTACTGTGGATTACTGTGCCGCTGGAGCTACAACCATCTGCCAATAGAGCCAGGTACTGGATATCGGCCCCCATGTACATCCCCATCAGCCTCGATTCTGCTAAGTGCAACATTGGTCAACCGCACTTGTTTACTGCTCCATCGTTATCTGTAGATACTTAGAGGTCAAAACACCAGCAAAAGGTTGAGGCGGAGGAAGACCCACCAACCCTCTTCCCCATCTTGAAACGAGGTGACTACATACAAGTGCAATTGTTTTCTCGTTGTATATAAATTTGGGTCCGAGTCATAGTCGGGACTTTGGGAGGGCCAGTAGAAAGCAAACTCTAGGAGAAAAGGGAATCAACGCGCACCGAGATTTCTACGATGTACATCTATCACGAGAGGTGAAAGTGTTTGCCTCAGCTTTTGTTAGAGCTGTTTGTGGGGCTTGTGCTTTTCTCAACGAGAGATGGAGCGCCTGGATTCGAATAGATTCTTGGATTCTCTGGAAAAAATCGTGGATTGGATTTCACTGGAGCGTCCTTTCCTTCATGGCCCAGAGGAATATCTGTCATAGCTGCTCCGCCTTTACGGATTTCGAAACTTTATCTCCGTGGGATAGATCAACACTATCCCCCCAAAAAAATGACTAACACCGTCCCTATTACGAGGAGCTCTAAGGCTCCGATATGATATAGCTCGTATGAACATAGAAGGCATGAAAGCCAATTCAACAAATTTATCAGGTTAGGGTTATACCGAGCCACATGTTTGAACTATTCACCGTCTACATACATGAATATCTAAAGGCTTTGTTTCTGTCTTGTATCCACAGTTGGCTCCCACTATCGAGGTATCCTCTATAAGAACAGTCGCCTTACATATACTATCGTACACGACACGTGATTACCACGCTACAACTGTGGAGTTATTGCGAGGAATAGGATCATGGCAACCTGTCCACAATTATGTCGTATAAAGCTAGAAACTTTAATTTTAGTCCTATTAATATCATCATCGTCTCTTCTCTCATCCAATAGGTTGCTTGGTCTTGCTACGGCCATTGGAACACGCACTGGTTTATAATACTCATCTTTCTTCTATGGGATAGATGCCTAAAAAATTTTGCCGTGATAATAACTTTAGGAGCTTGAGATTTGTTACCCTAGCTAATAAAGTCGAGGGTACCGGTAGGTCTATGAGTTATTTGGCAACGAATAGTTTTCTCTCTCCCTCAGAGGCAGCTCTAGAGTACGTATATCGACTAAAAGCTGCTTGTGTTTCCTAACTCTCATTCTCATAAGGCTACCTGTCCTATACTTTATGTCCGCTCCCTGGGTCTCCCACAGGTCCTGGACTCCAAATTAAATCAAGGATTGGTGGGAGTAGTAAGTAGTTTTACGACCACTAGCTATAGCTACAGTACACTTACCTTTGCTCCTCCGACACAACCAACCAAGAACATGAACTAGGGACCCGAGTGGTTGCCGTATGTTTGTTTTCATATCTGTTGCTTGGAGCGGTTGATGCCGGCTCTTGCCGGTTTCGGTCGCTCATGTATGGTCACTCGGCGGTTGAACCATTGGACGTCTACTTTGTTTTGACGATGTCAGTCAATGGGAGACATGGACCACATATGAGCTCTTCTCGATGTTTGCGATTGGAGGGCTCACAGTTTCATTGGAATGGCATATATATATCGCTGGTAGCAGCCGGTCTGGCTGTCATATTTCCCCACATCACAAGATATCACCATTCGATAAAATCACCAATTTTGAATAAAAGCTGAAAACCGAAAACTAAAAGGCAAACTTTTATTCATTCCACCTCCATCTATTGGTCTAACCCACTCCTCAATTCCACCAAAAGCTAACACTAAAGCTCGTATCCAAGCTCCTCACATAATGCCACCAACCCGCCGGGATATACAGCCCCTCCCCCCTCTCTAACACCCTTTCTACATATTTGGCTTCTTTAAAGACCCTCCACTTCTCCTTCTCCTCCTCACTCTCCGCCTCGCTGCCGCCCTCAACCCTCTCAATATCGATCGAGCTCGTATTCGACATATCCACACCGCCGTCCTCCACACCCCTCGGAAACAGCTTCGTCGTCTCGCTCGGCGCATACAGGCGCACATACTTCCTGCCGAGTACCTGGCACAGAATATTTGAATATGGGTCCGTATGCAGCGGTGATATCGTCCCCGCCGGCCCAAACCATGCATTCACCAGCGGTGCCTCCAGCTGCACCGGCGTCGGCACCCCCGGCGGCGCCGGCGGTGTCGTATAGCAGTAGTCCGGTATCAGAATGTCATTACGCAGCGGCGGGATCTGGTGGAAGAGCGTGTGCTGCGCCAGATAGCCTGTCTGCGGTGTCTCTTTCTCCTCCTCCTTGTCTTCTTCCCCAGTGAAGGCGGGGACGGTATTGCGTGGGAGCACGTGCGTGTTCATGAATTCCCGGAACGTCATAATGCGCTGAGCCCAGTCACGATTCGTGTAGCTACGCCCGACCTCGACGGGTACGAGGCGCTTGCCGCCGTGGGTTCGGCTGAGAAGGTAAGCGGAGGACGCCCAGGGGCGGGTGGTGAGCGCAGGCCAGTCGTCGACGACCCCGGCCATGATGAGAGGTGTATTCTGCGCTAGTAGATGCTTCGTGAACCCCTCCAGCGACAGCGGCGTGCCGTGCCGCTCAATTGGGCAGTCCAGCTTCGGTGCCGGGGGTGAGTCGGCCGCGATTAGGTCGTTGTGGCTCGTTGGTGCTGCGGGCTCGGTGGTGGTGGTCGTAACATAGACGTCCACCTTCTCCAGCAGGTCCTCGATGATCTCGCGGCGGTTGTTCCCCGGCGCACCGGCCATGATCAGCGCCATGTCGAGTGTACGCACGATCTCGGAGTCCGAGTCATTGAGTTGTTCGGTGGGCGTCAAGGACGTTAGGAGTAGTATCTGCGCGACGGCCTTGAGCACACTGGCGTCTGTGTAGAGACGGCGCCAGCAGAGTGGGACGTCGCGGTATGGATAGGTGTGTAACTTGTCGGTGCAGAGACGGAGGAGGTCTGTTGCGCGGGTTATTGCATTCTTGAGTGCAGGCGCGGGAGGCGGGGCCGGTGTCCAGAGGGCGAGGGTGAGGGAGCGGTGGAGTTGGAGGGCGCCGAGGCCGCAGTCGCTGAGGGTTGCTGTGGTGGGGGGGTGTGTTAGTGCGTGCAGTGTGCAGGGTTGTGGGGAGGGATGCACGGACTGTCTGTGGTGAGGTCGGAGTGGATTGTGGAGATTGCAGTTGTGCAGGCGGTCGTGAGGGCTGCTGCTGCTGTGGTTGCGGGGGCCATGACGTTCGTGTGTGTGGTTGTGATGCTATGCTGGGTTCTGGTGGCTATGGTTCTGGTGGTAATGATGGTAATGGTGGGGTGTATGCTGTGTGTGTGGTGGGGTGGTTTATGGATGTGTGGTGGGGAGGAAACGGTAGGGGGTGCTGGTGATGGTTGATGATGCCGGCGGAGAGAATGAGTGTCAAGAACTGCAACTACCCTCTCTCTCTGCCTCTGTCTGTCCGTTCCCTTTCTCTCTCTGTATGTCCCCTTCCTTCCTTCACTCTCTCTATCCAACACTCCCACCTCTTCCCCCGCCCAATCGGACACAGCTGATTAGCTGCATGATGATAATCACTCCCCATCGGCAAGATGTGGTCATGCAATATCACTCGTCCACGTGTATCCGCAACGTCGAGCCCTCTCCCTTTAGTAAGGGGGGACGGGGAAGGGGGAGGGTGAATGTAGCCAATTCAACCGCGCCTCTGCTTCCCGTGAGATACCTATCTTCAGAAACACAAAAACAGTCTCTTCTCTCCCACCGGCGACGGCATGTATCCGGCCCGTCTTTTTTCTTTCTTTTCTTCCTTGCTTCATTTCCCTTCTTGCTATAGAGAACTGAGTGAGTGAGTGGGCGATCGATCAAATCGCCCTCCCGGGTAAAATGGCAAGAAGTAAAAAAGCTTTCTGGATGTTTCTACATACTAGAGCTCGCTAGAACGCTAGCTAGTTGGATAGATAGTTAGTTGGTAGAATGGGTTGGAGTATTCGATTCGAATACAGCCCCGATATATTTGCTCCTCTCGTTGCAGGCTGGTAAGCGGGAAAGTAGGTTGGTAGGTAGTGAGAAAAGACCTCAAAGCTACACTACATGAGCTAGCTAGCTAGCTAGAGCTCCACGAGCAACCAATCAATCAACTAATTAGCCAATCAGGGCGACCAATCAGACAGCCAGTAAGCTCGACGAATCACTGGCTCATGTTTCAACCATGCCCACGTCCAGACAGGGCCGTACTCAGCTGGAGCGGAGTACATACATTTACTCTATGCCCTCTACGCGCGTACTCCGCCCAAGGTAGAACATCTGCTGCAAACCCCTCAAAAATTACAATATTACAAGCTTATTGTGAGTAGAAAGTAGAGTATCAATCATATTACGCTAGCAATCGAGGCCAGACCCGCGTTTGGCGGGGAAAGCAGAAGCAAATTAAAGATCATACGCCCCCCCCCCAAAAAAAAAGCAACCCCACAATGGATGTTGTGGGGTTCGTCACTTTGGATCTAACATGCTGCTTGCTAGCTCATGGCTCGCTCGTTGTGTCAGATCCGGAGCAGCGCAGGGCAGTTATAGATCAGATCATGGCCGTTAAGGTTTGGCTTGGGAGCTTCGTGGGTTGGCCAACGATCATATACATGTAGATATTTACTTCATTTGAGCCTGCCTATCCGCCACAATGGCCACAGAAAGCGACTATTCGTGCATCAGATTCTCTGTTCGAATTCTAGCCCCTCTCCTCTCTCTTCTAGCGTCAGAAGACCAGACCAGAGCAATCCACTCACTACCTGAACCCCCCTCTGTTTCTCACCGCTTCGTATACACTACACCAGCCCGCAGCTCTCTCTAAACGACCAAGGAAAATGACCTCATAACCCCCCCCCCCCCCCCTCGCCCCGTACGTAACGTATCCTCCATCCATAACTTCCTACGTAACCTCTCCCTTCTCTCCCGTCTATCAAAACACTCGCTCTTCCGTCCATCTATGTATCCTATCCAGGCCCCAAATGTCTATCCAGTACCTTAGTCTATAGTAGCATCAACAACGACCCCTGCCCAAAGTAAAGAAGAAAAAAATGTTACTAAAATATGATATAAATTTGGTTCTCCAGGAAGCGAAGCAAAGCAAAGCAAAGCAAGCAAGTCCATAGGAATAGCCACACGTAACTATGCCCACAGTGCCTTCCTTCACCACTTCACCGCCTGCCAGATGTCGAATCATACAAGAAAGGAAAAAAACACAAGCAAAAAACCCCCAAGTCCGGTTATAATCAAAAAAGCCACTGTAACAAAAAGAGAAAGAAACAAAAAAGGGAACAAAAAAACGAAGGGATTATATATGGTGTAAAATACAACAAATCCAGAATAAATAAATAAAAAAATATAGACAATTGCAGCAGCACAAAAACAAAATGATGCCGAATAAACCAAAAGACAAGCCTCTATGTGCAAAAAAAAAAATAACAAGATCATCTAGGAAGCTCTCTAGATTCCCCAAGAAAAACGACCTAAAACAAAGTAAAACTGACAAAGGAAAAGGATCAGTGGTAAGGAGTGTAAAGGGGTCTCAGACCAGCCCAAAAAAATATAGTATATGTGACTCTTCTAGCGTTTAGCAGCCAGAAAGACAAAAAAGAATCAGGGGGAAAAAACAGAAACGACGTCTATACAGCCATCGTCACGCCGGCTTCTACCGCCAACATGATCTTCCTCGCAGGCGCTGCAACGGCAGGAGCCGCCGCAACAACCTCCGCAATCTCAGCCGGCGTCTCAAACTCCATCGCCGCAAATGCATCCTCGCGGTTCGCCCGCTGACTCAAAAAGCTGAGGTATCCATTCCAGCCCACGGCAATTGCACCACCAAACAGGGCGCGGAACTCGAGCGGGACGAACCAGAAGTTGACGGCCGTCACGGCGGGCCACAGCTTGCAGGAGTTGATATAGGCTGTGGGAATGGTCTTCTTGAGTGTGTCGACCATCTCCCGTGTGCTCACTGTGCCGACGGATGAAAAGACGCTCTGCAGCGTGAAGAAGGCGGCAAGGAAGACGGGGGTGAAGAAGATCTGGTTCACCAGCACCCGGGTCGAGATTGACAGCAGCTTGCTGCGGAAGTTGAAGGACTCGCCGAGATATTTGAACCTGAAAATAGCGTTAGCGGGGTTGTTTCATCCTTGGTTGCTTTGCTTGCCCGCTTGAAACGGATGAATTGATAGATTGAAGGGGAAAGGCGTTCCAAGCCTTGGGCGGAGCTGACTCACCAAAGATAACTTGGAATCGAGAAGACTCCACCAATGGCAATATTCCTCCCGGTCCTCACTGGGTCGTAGGCCACGCCCTCCTCTCCAAATAGGAACTGTGCATTCAGGTCCCCCAATGCATAGATGGCAATGGACGTCAGGAGCTGCGTCACATATGGCCTCTTCCTCTGCGCCTGCCCATACCGGTCAAATGTGCGCACCACCGGTGCGGCCGCGTATGTCCCATAGTTATATGCAGTCCTCAGCGTCAATGTGAACCTTGTTGGAAGCTTTGCAAAGATTGGGTGTGTTGGGCGAGGTGTTGTGAATATCTCGCGCCGGCGCTGGGGGCCCTTGAGAAGCTGGTGGACGGTGCTTGATGTTGGATGAGCCCGTTTTGCAAATAGCCTGGAGCTAGTGGTGAGCAGAGATGCCATCGTGCTAGTTGTGTCTTTCTTCTTATTCTGGTGCTGGTGGTTGACTTTTTCTTTTATTGAAACAAAGTGAGTGAGTGCGAAGGCGAGGGATTGTAAAAAGTGGAAAAATAAGGACCGTAAGGCGACGAAAGTCCGGGGGGGGAGGTGATGGTATTAATACTTTCAGCTGTACCTGGGGATCACCACCTGTGTTGTACCGGGAGTAACCAAAGAGCGAAGGTGTAAGGTGTAGTGGTACTAGTGCCAAAGGAAAGGACAGGAGATACAGTTGAAGACATGTAGGTGACTAGACCCAAGTGGTGGCTTCGCCCCCCCCCCCAAAAAAAAAAAAAAACGTAGCCACACGCCTCACCCATTCGCCAGCCGACCAGAACAACCCCCCCCCCCTCCCTCCCTCTCTTCGCAGGAGCCCTCCCCCCCCCTCCCCCATGCCTAATCTCGGAATACCAATCATACTCCTGTAGATTACGCCGAACGTGGCAGAAATGACGGCGTTTGGCTCGGTGATGGTGCAAATCCATCACCCACACTGAACTGCACTGCATGCAGGGACGTCGGTCGGGTTGGATCTCTCGTCAACAAGAGCCTCCCCATCCGAGAGCAGGAAACACCCCTCCCCCCCCTCAACCCCTGTATCTTACCTGTTTCGTCCCAACTGGATCCACGAAGGCAGACCGTCTCCCAAAAAAGACCTGTGCTGCTGCAGCAGCAGCGGCGAAACAGATTCTATCCGTTGGCGGGGCCCGGCGTTTGCTGAGGAGAAGAGGGGGGGGAGGTGATCGTTTTGTGAACCTCGCGTTTGTCGTATGCTATTCGTGGATAGCCTGCCGGGCGAGTTGTTCATCACGGTCGCATTCCTGTCATTCTCGTTTCTCGCGATAGCAAGTGCGGAGTACATACATGTAGAGCACATTATGTGCAGATTCCGTCTTGTATTGAAACCAAGGCATCGAACTGCTGGACTTTTGTTCGTCAGAAGTGAGGGGAACGTTGTTTTGGAGGTTTCGTTACGGTTCCGCGTGATATTGCACAGGGCGTGATGGTAATAAAATCTCCGAAGGGCGGAAGCGAGAACATTTACAATCAGACGTGATGAACAATATCTACATAGAGGCGCTCTTATACTTATCTCCGACCACCTACAGGTCGTACGTAGCTATTTTTGTTTATTTCTACAGGTGTCACTTCGAGGATGGGAAAGACAAGAAGATAGCGTTAAGGGTATCATTTATTCTCACAGTCAAGCTAGATTGGCAGTATTAACTAGAGAGAGAGAGCATGTTTTGAACTAGAAGGCCAGGTTATTGACCTTCTTACATTTGTTGTTATCACGAAATTGAAACTATAGTACAACAAACTCCACCGTTCTGGCGGTGCAAAAACAAGAAAGCTAACACCCCACCCAGTACTGTACGAGCAAAAAAGGAAACCCAGGAACAAAGAACCATTGAATTCATTTAAAAGACACTACTAACCCATCCCCCCGAAGATTATCGTTATGGTAATACTCTAAGAGCGCTCACCACGGAGACGGCGAGCGAGCTGGATGTCCTTGGACTGGATGGTGACACGCTTGGCATGGATAGCTGTAATGACAATGTTAGTGGTTGTTCTGTTGGAAGAAAAAATAGACGCGAGTGGCAACGCGGCTGAAGTGATTACTTACCACACAAGTTGGTGTCCTCAAACAGAGAGACGAGGTAGGCCTCAACGGACTCCTGAAGAGCACCGATGGCGGATGACTGGAAGCGGAGGTCGGACTTGAAGTCCTGAGCGATCTCACGAACAAGTCTCTGGAAGGGAAGCTTGCGGATCAAAAGCTCGGTGGACTTCTGGTAGCGACGAATCTCACGGAGAGCGACGGTACCAGGCTTATATCTGTGGGGCTTCTTGACACCACCTATTGTTGTTTAGTTAGCAACTATTTCTATTCGTGATGTGATAGGATGAGGTGGATGGGATCTTTAAACTTACCAGTGGATGGTGCAGATTTACGAGCAGCCTTGTTGGCGAACTGCTTACGAGGAGCCTTTCCTCCGGTGGACTTACGGGCGGTCTATAAACAAAACGCGTTAACACATCAACATATTAAGGTGGGGGAGGACATAATGATGAAGGTCATCATGTCCTATTACTAGATGTATGGATGGGGTTATTATCTTACCTGTTTGGTGCGGGCCATTTTTGGTGATTTTTTGGCTAATTTAGATGTTGTTGGTGTTGATGTGGTGAAGTGGAATAGAGAAGGAGACGAGATCGGGGAGGGCGGCAAGCTGTACTTATATACGGTGGGTCAAGGCCACGGAATCAACTTAGGACACAGAACAAGGAGTGAGCAGGGCAGGGTTAGGGAAAGGCATAGAAATGGGAGGTTGGGGTTCTTGAAAAACTCAGAGTACGTTGCAACCGGAAATACCCCGAAAAAAGTTCTCCTTTCCAGCGTGTTTTTCGACCATAATTTTGTATGGGGATTTGGGTGCAAAATGGCTGAGTTGCAACGAAATCACGCTAAGGTATCACATCCTGGTTGGTTGTGCAGCGCGCCCACACACCACTTCCGCATTCAGCCGCTGCTACTAACTAAGGCAAGGAACTGCTGAACTGCCATTTCCATCATCTCCAAAATCTCAAAGACGTGAGATTTGAGTCATGTCGCATGTGCAATAGTAGATGGACATTACGTGACTCCCAAATAATTCTCGTATTCAACTTTTAAAGCCATAGTATTCTGTAAATGTGTCCTCCTCTATTTCATCTTTTCAGCGACCGAGCATTTTCGCTGAACCTGGCATTTCCATTCTATCTACCGGTTCTCTTTTCAACCTGCAGACAACAACAGCAAAAAAAAAAAAGCTTTACAGCAGATAGAATTGCCAAAAATGACTGGCCGACCAACCGATGCAGGAGTTACAAGTCGGTCGGTATGTTGATGTAACATGCATTCCATAGATCCGTGCCGTACCTCGCTCCCCAATACAGGCTTCTTCTGGAATCTGGATCCTCAAAAATCCCATAGATCACCACCACCTTGTGCGCCCATTCAATTCTTTGGTCCTACACCCCCTTGTAGCGTGTGTATCTGGCATCGTACTCTAGAGTGAAGCAGAGATATTAGCGTGTTTCGCCCAACGTGGGTCAGGGCCAGGGTTTCAGTCATGCAGCACAAAGATGGCGCCCCCCATTTTTTTTTCGTGCGCGCGGTCGGTGCCTGCCTTGCCTGGTTGATGTTGAAAATCAAATGGGGTACGGGTCCTCTTCAAATACCGCGTGTTTTCCCCACCTCGAAAGCACTTCCCTCAACTTCATCCTGCTACTACGAATCTAACGCAACTATCTCGCGTTTCATAAACTTCAACCTCTTTTTTTTTTAAAAAAAAACAACTCCTCTCAACAACTCAACCCAAAATGACTGGACGTAAGTTTTTAATACCTCTACTTGCTTGATTAACGCGTCCATTTACTAAACTTGTTTTCTCTACAGGTGGAAAAGGTGGAAAGGGTCTCGGAAAGGGTGGCGCCAAGCGTCACAGAAAGATTCTCCGTGACAACATCCAGGGTATCACTAAGCCCGCTATCCGCCGTCTCGCGCGTCGTGGTGGTGTCAAGCGTATCTCTGCCAGTATGTTTACCTCTAACTTCTCTATATCTAGCTTCGTGAACAACATCTAACGTGCCTGCCTTACAGTGATCTACGAAGAGACCCGTGGTGTCCTCAAGACCTTCCTCGAGGGTGTCATCCGTGATGCCGTCACCTACACCGAGCACGCAAAGAGGAAGACCGTAACCTCCCTCGACGTTGTCTACGCCCTCAAGCGCCAGGGACGCACTCTCTACGGTTTCGGTGGTTAAGCGTGTCGTTTCCAGCCAAGTGTTACATTATGTCGATTTTCTTCGGGTGTTCGGGTTAAATTCTGGAATTTTCTTTTTCTTTTCTTCTTCTTCTTAGTCTACGCGGGGAATTGTGTTTCTATTTTTCTGCCGGGATTTGTACTATAGCCAGCTTTCTATATGAAGGAATGAAGATGGGGAGAAGGCACTGTCGTTAATAAGCAGTGTCTTCTCCTGAGCTCTGAAATTACAATGATTGCCCCCGTATTCTTGTTCTGTAACCATAATTTTGCGCATTATAACTATTAGATTGTCATGGCTTTTTTTAATTTTTTCTCGTGAACGTCGCGTTTCTAGTGAGTGACAATATGCGATGAAGCAACGTTGAGACACGTTATAATAAACTTCGTCACGGTAAATCTTGCTGCTGCGCGTGTGACAACCAAGCTTAAAACTCACCAGTACCTGTAAGGCCGCAAGGGCGCAGCGCAATCTTGCTTGAGGATCCAGAAAAACCATATCTCTACGCAGCCCACCCAACAGGATATCTGAAATTTCTTTGAGCTTCGAAACCTGTAAACGAGCAATCTGCCGTCTCCCGCCGTGCGCAATCCAACACATACCGCTCACCACCACCACCCTTCGAATTCGAATTCACATCCTATCTACACCAGCTAGTCGTCGTTGAAAACCCATCCAGATAACAAAGAAATCTCACACACACCCAATCCCCAATCTCTCCATCCAGTAACCCATCCTCATCCTATCTCCCGATTCTATCTCCCACCTCCCCACCTACAATGCGTCATACCCTCTCTCCTTCCTCCGCCCCTCCACAACTCGACCCCGCCAAGACACCGCAATACCGGGTGATTTCCCATGACGCACCACACCACCACAGCCGCCAATAAACCCTAACCCATCCGCACCCATCCACACATGATACACCCACACACCCACCCAACAAGAAGAAAAAAAAAAAAAAAAAAAAAAAAAACCCGACCGCGGCCGACGGCCCCCACGCACGTGCCACGCCAGCAAAGCTAAAAACTCTCCCCTGTGCCCCTCTCTGTGTGTGCCTGCTGGAGCCGAGCCGGGGCGAGCAAATCGGAGGAATGTTCCACGACGCGTTCCATGAGCCTCATACCGCCCGCGCCCGGGATCTGCGCTAAGCCTATCTTTGTCTTTGGGGGGGGAGGTACAGGGAGTCATGGGTGCTCACTCGCTTTTGGGGGTGCAGTGCGGTTTTTGTTGGCGGCTCTTTTCTTGCGGGCGGGGGTGTGGGCGGGTCGAGTGGGTGGTTAAGCGGTGTACATAGCTTGCATGTAGCGAGCGCCTGGCGGTATCTATCGTGTGGTCGTCTACATGTATGCATGTACCCACTGCCCGCGGGCGTTATTATCCACTGGCAGCGGCCGTGGAGATGGATAAATGAGCGTCGCCTCAGGAGCCAGTTCAGGGGCGGCCGGCCGGCTGGAATCACGCAGAGGTATGTGGAATTTGGTGGTAGGTAGGCAGTGGGAGTGATCTCGGGTCATGTTTGGCCAACTGTTGTTTCTTTGCGACAGCTGAGGACATAGTTTGAGTCACGCGCCAGAGGAGGTATGCTTCTATCGTAGACTCACATAAACAGAGAGCTACTGAGGTTGTTCTCCCCCGGAAGAGAATCACCAGTCACTCGTCCGGCCGTACTTGGAAGATACATGTACTCATGTAGATGCTCAACAAAAGAAGAAATATACAATACCAAAAAAGGGTACGGATTCGCTACGTTATTCCCGTTAATGTGCTAGTAGTTCAGTAAGAATACGGCATTACTGCGGTGTTCTTTTTGTAATGCCAGTTTAATTCCGTCTTATTCGCTGAATCCTGTAGTCATACAGTACTGATTTCGCCCCGGTTTTTCGTACTGTGCTTTATTTTGGGCACGGGACGTACATATTGGTGACTATGGGTCATATCCCCATTTACGAGTCAAATAAGATGATGAAATGAGTCAAATAATTGACATGGAGGAGGAGGAGGAGGAGGAGTCCTTTCTGAGTCCGCCCACTCACCCGACAGCGCTCCTTGCCCGGATAGTTGCCGCAACCGCTAGAAGACCTAGCTTATCACTGCCTTGGGTTTGTATCAGTCGCCGTCAGCTGTTCGGGTGAGTGTCGTCTATTGTACCTATCACCTGACTATCCAAACCTACCTAAGGCTAACTACAAAAAACAAGCCAAACCCCAAACCCCATCACACACTCTCACTCGCCACCTTCCCCCTCTTCACAACCCAATACTCCTCCCACCTCCTCCCATCCCGCACCCAACCCGGCACCCAAAACACCCTCCCCACCACCCCCGTCCCCTCCTTCTCCAAAAACCGCTCCCTCGCCACCACCACCCCCCACCCCTCCGCCATCACCACCTCCCTCTCCTTCGCCCCCAGACCCACAATGTACTCACACTCCCCACGACTCACATACTTGCCCACATCCTCCAGATTCATGTCATTCATCCCCTGCGGCACCCTCCACGTGCCCTCCCACCCCGCCTCCACAAACTCGCCCGGCAGCAGCCCGCGGAAATCAGACACCAGCCACTTGGCCCGCACACCCTCTGGGAGCAAGTAGTGCGACGGGAAGCGGTACCATTCACCCGCCACACACAGATTCCCCGTTGCGTTCGCGGGGAGGCTGGAATAGATGCTGAGCGGCGCGGAATACGACGTGGTGACCGCCAGCGTCCTCGACAGTGATAGCAGCATCGTCAGCGCCACCACCGCCACCGCCAACACCCTCCTCAGCATCCGCGACGGGAGGATCGCACCCACGATGTCGAGCGCGCGGGTAAGTGCGATTGCGGCGTTGACGAGCAGTAGCGGGTATGCCAGGAACATGAAGCGCTCCTCTTTATGTGGCTGGAGCGTAAAGATAGCCAGCCAGAGGTAGTATGGGAGTGTTGCTGTGATCTCGCGGCAGGTGACGGGGGTGGTGATGAGGGTGGAGAGGACGAGGACGGGGAAGGCGGCGAGGGAGAGCGGGAGGAGGATGTTGTGGTTGAGAGCGAGGTTGAGGAGGTAGAAGTGCCATGGCTCGGTGCCGTATATGTTTGGCCCGCGCGAGGCGTCGCTGAAGACGTTGTAGAGCACGATGTTGAGCGGGACGATCTCGAGCTTGCGGTAGAAGGCGGAGTCGATGGCGACGATTATGGCCTATGGAAAACACACATACCGATCATTAGCCCACCACCCACAACCAACAACCTGAGGAGGGGACCTGCCAACAACCCCACCGACAACAATCCACCCTTAACACACCTCCCCACCACGCCCACCACCCTCCCCTCCACCGCGCCCGTCACCAGCGCCCCCAAGATCCACGGCACACACATGACCAGACAAAACGGCCACCCCAACAACCCCCCCACCGCCGTCCACACCACCCCCTCCACCAACTTCCCCTCCAAGAACCCCGCCGCCGCCATCATACCCGTATACATCGCAAACGTACTCGGCAGGAACGCCACCGCACTATGAAACATTCCCGCGCTCCCCGCCGCAAACGCCAAATACATCGCCCCCACGCCCCTTCCCAGCCGCGTGGCCACCGCACGATACAGCCTACTCTCCGCATACGCGCAGGCGACCGCGAACACAACGCGCAGCGCATAGAACTCTGCGCTCTTGCCCACCACCCCCGGCAGCAGCAGCGACGCGGGCCGCGAGAGCGCAGAGTGCAGGAGGATGTACGCCCACGAGCGGATGGCGTAGGCCGGCGAGTATTCCCAGGTCTGCAGGCCGTGCGAGTGCGAGAGGTAGTGGGCGGGCTCCCAGAAGTTGAAGACTTCGTCGCAGTCGGGGATTGTCGCGTAGCGCGCGGAGAGCAGGCGCGGGAGGAGGAGGAGGGCGAATGCGGCGGTGGGGGTTATGAGGGGGCTAGAAGGGGGGGTCGGTATGTTAGTCTCGGTTTGGCTCTAGGATGGGAGGGAGGGACTTACGTGGGTGCTTGAGCGGCCTTTTTTGAGAGGCGTGGGTTTGTGGGGATTGCTGGGGCGGCGGGAGGGGGTGCGGGTGTGGTCGCGGGGCGGGGACGGGCCCGCAGTTCTGACATTGTGTAGGTTGTGTGTGTTTACTGTGCTGTAGAGTGCGGGTTTCTGTGGGGATCACAGAGCTATCAGCAGTTGACTAGACACAGCTCTCTTGTAGTAGTAATCTCCCAAAACCCCCAACCGAGTCTTTCACCGTCGGCGCCTCACCCGAACCGTCATCCCTGCGCACGTCAAAAAAAACCCATCCACAGCCCACAAACACCAACTACAAACAAGAACCACAACCACAACCAACCTCAATCGCTGCTTAAACATCAATATCAATTACAATTCCATCACCCCAACTAATGGAAAGAACAACATCTTCACCGCCCACCGGCGGCGGAATCCCCGGCCTGTTCCTCCTCAGTGGCCCCACCAGCAGCTCGACAGAAGAGACAATGATGGATGCTGCCCCCGCCACTATCACCACCACAGACACAGACACAATTGCCATCAAGAAGGAAAATGAGGATACAAACACCGTCCCAATTGCCCCCACAAATCCCACTACAACTGTGACAAACACTACAAATGACACTTCCCTCTCAAAAGAGGACTTCCAGTTCGCGCTCGACACCACCGCGGGCGACAAGGCCGTCAAGACCGAGGAGCCCGCGGAGCAGCAACAGCAACAGCCACAAGTACAGAAGCAGGACAGCCACATGCATGACGACAGCAAGCCCATTAAGATTAAGAATGAAGAAGAAGAAGAAGAAGAAGAAGAAGAAGAAGAAGAAGATACCGGGCCCACAGAAGCCGAGTCCGCCCTTCACTCCGCCGTCGTCAAGCCCGAGCCCGCCTCAACAGACGACGTCCCCATGGGCGACACCGAAGCCGACCCCGAAGCCGCCTTCCAAGCCGCCGCGCTCGCCAACAAATCCGAGCCCACCGCCGAATGGGAGCTCGACTCCGACGCCTCCTCTTCCGACTCCTCCGACAGCGCCTCCGACGCCGGCTCCTCGGACTACGACCTCCTCGACCCCTCCTCCCTCGCCGCCCTCCTCATGGACGAAGCCTCCGACCACTCCGACACCGACGGCCACCCCTCCCGCAGCGCGCTCAAGACCAAGAACGAGATTCCCGAGGCCCTACTCCCCATCGAGCGGCCATCCATCACCCTCACCCCAACCCACCCCATCACACACCTCGGCACCGCCACCACCCTCCTGGGCACAACCCTCCTCATCACCGCCGCCACCCCCGGCGACCACCGCGTCCTCAACGAGTCCTCCCTCCTCTGCACCGCCGACCGCCGCATCCTCGGCACCGTCGCCGACATCTTCGGCCGCGTCGAGCAGCCCCTCTACACCGTGCGCTTCAACACGCCCGGCGAGCTCTCCGACACGGGCGTCGCCGTCGGCGACGACGTGTACTACGTCCCCGACCACAGCGAGTACGTCTTCACTGCGCCGCTGCGCGCCGTGAAGGGGAGTGATGCGAGTAATCTGTATGATGAGGAGGTGCCGGAGGGGGAGAGGGAGTTTAGTGATGATGAGGCGGAGGCGGAGGCGAAGCGCGGGAAGAGGAAGGCTAGGACGGGAGATAAGAGGCGCGCGGATGGAGGGAGGGTGGTGAAGGAGATGGATGAGCCGTATGTGCCGTTGGCGAGGCCGGCAAATTTGCATGAGATGTTGGCGGGGCCGCCGCCGCCGCCGCCGTCGCGAGGGAGGGGGGGGGAGGGGGTGGTGGTGGGAGGGGGAATAGGGATGGGCGTGGTGGTGGTGGGCGTGGAGGACAGAGGGGTCGTGATGGGCGTGGCCGTGGTGGTGGTGGAGGCAGCGGTAGTAGTGGTGGAGGCCGCCGCGAGGACCAACACCACCCCCAACAGCAGCAACACCCCCAGTACCCCCAGCACCCCCAGCAACAATCCCATCCCCAATTCCCCCCGCAACAACAATACCCACCCCCCAACCCCAACCCCAAAGCCAATACACCCACCAACAACACCACTTCCCCCAGCAGCAACAGCAACAATGGACACCACCACCCTTCCCACAATTCCCCCAGTTCCCGCAATTCCCCCAGTTCCCGCAGCAGCAGCAGCAGCAGCAGGGTTTCTATCCACAGACACTCCCGCAGGGCGCGCACGTCAATCCCGCGTTCTTCCAGGGGGGGCACAGCTGGCCGCCCCCGCCGCCGCCGCCGCCACAGCAGGCACCACAGCAGCAGCAAAGGGTGGATCCAGAGGCGTTTAGGGCGCTGCAGAACCTGTTGAGTCTGAGCAAGGGTGCGCAGCAGGGTCAGGGTGGTCAGGCCGGGCAGTAGATCGTGAGAATAGGAGTAGTGTAGGGAGAAGGGGAGAAAGGGAGGTGGGGGGGCGGGGCAGAAAAAAAAAAAAAGTGTATTTTTTTTCCTTCTTTCTTTTTACTTTTAGGGGTTTTTTTTTTTTTTTCTACATTTTTTTTTTGTATTGTATATTTCTAGTTTAGGGGCGCGCGTAATCGTAGTGTTTTTGTTTTGTCAGTTTGGGCTTTTGTTAAGGGCTTGTTTGAGTGAGTGAGTCTTTTCGTGTGAGTACATGTAAGTTAACCCCCCCCCCCCCGGGGGGCAAGTGTGTCGAGTGATATACCATGATCGGGATGTTGGTGGCAGGGATAGGGTTAGGGTTCAATTCACTCCTAGCACGATTACCAGAGCCCAGTATCCGACTTTCTGCTTGTTAAAAAGATTCGTCACATCACTGGCAGCTAAAACTACCCGAATGGGGTATTGGGCGGGGTCAGTTTATGGGGTTTAGCCACCGACGAGATCAATACACCCTATCTACGTGTCACTAAGACACAAGATCGAGGGAAACAGATGCCTACGAGTGAGCTTGAATGGGAAACACGTATTCCAGAGGGAGGTCATGTTGTTGTTTGTTGAGGGCCAGGTGGTCGTAAGTTTGGCATACTCAGAATCTTCGGTCTTGGGGGCGGTCACTCGAGCCAGCAGTATCGATACCGGGCCTCGACTTTCGTTGTGACGATAAAGCTTATAGCCGACAAGTTTCGCAGACACATACAATCTTAGCCAATTGACTATTCGGTTAGGCTCATTGATATGGATTACAGGTTGGAGGTCTTTATATGTCTGTCTTGTGGCCTTCCGTGTGTCTATTATTCAGCCTTTTATAGGTAACCCGATACTTGGCCTGCATCTTCTATTGACCAACGATTTATCTATCAATCACCTTGGCGTCGAAAGAATGTATCTGCATACATGTATCCTCCGAATTATCATTGGCGTGTATGTCACGTGAGACGTGCCAATGATCGGCGAACCGGTTACTAGGTACGCGCAGACAATGGGCACCATAAAGTTAGAGAGAGATCTGTTAGAGAAGCTTTAGCTGCCAAGTTTTGATCGATTTTAGCACGTTACATACTCAAACCTGATCGCCAAAGTGATTCGCCTCGAAAAGATGGGCATTGAACTGGAGGTTCGTTCTTATGCGCAGTGACAGCTACATGGGTAAACTATCTCCATAGCGTCGTGGTGGTTTGCGGGCTCCATGATGCGAACTCCGGTCGCTTCAGGTACTTACATGTATGTAGGGAATCAACCACGTTTACATTTCAGCTTACACGAAACGAGTTGTGAAACAATAAACCACAAATCCTTCGAACTATCTTTGATTTTGAAAATACATGTATCCACGATACTTTTTTTTCTTTCGGGAAGGGCAGCAACTAAATTACCTTTTTGTGAACGAATCAAAAATAAACGCAAAGAAACCCTAGAAACTTGTCCTAGCCCCAAGCAATTCCATAAATACTTCTAATACTTTTCATCTCCCAAGACGGCTTGACGAGCCTGCTCATAGTCAGGGATGATCCCACCGGTGAACACCTGAATGAAACAAGATTAGCATCATAATATATCACTCGCCCGGATGCAACTTACCTCAAATTGTTTTACACCCTGCCCAGTCAATGCCTCCAACCCTGGAACTGTCTTCCACCCAGCCTCCTCAGCAAGCTCCATAACTTCAGTATGTCTTGGCTTGTATGCCATCTCCGCCAACACCCTCTCCTTTTGGCTATCAGTGGGGTTGACCTTCAATAGCTCAGTAAGAATCGCTTTAGTTGCGGCATCAATGGGTTTGTCGGCCGGAACTGTAGAAACCGCAGTAACTGGTTTTACGGAGATAGCCTGTGCCTCCTCGAGTGTCTTGACAGCGATGATGTTGTACTCAGCCGGGAAAGCATCGATGATGGGCTGGAGATTCGCAACACTACGATTGATGATGTAAATGGTATTGTAGCGCATGTTATGCAAAGCATAAACGGCCGCTCTTGAAGTACCTCCAGCACCGATGACAAGTGCACTGCCTGGGTCATCGTAGGTGTCACGAACACCTCCCTGGAAAAGTGAAGTCTTGATACCAACCCAGTCGAAATTGTAACCAACAAGCTTTCTCTTCGTCTCCCCACGAGTCTTGACAAGGACTGGGAGAACAGTGTTGACTGCTCCAATCATCTCGGCCTCGGGGGTGATCTCATCAAGAAGTGGCATAATATTGAGTTTGTGCGGGATCGTAACACTAGCACCACCGAAATCATCGGCATAGAGGATGGCTCGAGTGGCTTCGTCGTTGACAGTATCATTCTCAAAGATCTGGTAGTGATGAGGAAGACCCATATCTTTGAATAGGTGATTGTGAAGGGCGGGACTTCGGGAGTGTTGAATTGGCTTCCCGAAGAGGTAGAATTGCTTCCTCTCAATCTCACCCATCAACCAGAGGCCACGATGAATCTCCGACACTGTCAACTGCCCAGGGGCAGCCTTGAATGGGAGCGCCGGGTGCGTAACGGGTGTCAAGAACATATTCAGAATTCTGCTAAGCTTACCCTTCTCACCAGCATTGAGAGCGATGAGACGGGTTGCCCGTGAGCTAGCCCATTCACGGAAATTCTGAAGATCGAAGTTGTCTTGTAATTTGTTTGCTACACCGATGAGTTTGATGACATCTCCGAACTTCAGAGCAGTGTTGAAGATAGATACCCAACTCGCGTTTTTCCAGCGAAGGTGACCTTGGACATCGTGGTGGGATGCGATGATCTTGGTGTGGTTCTTTGAAGCAGTAACCTTCTCGATGACAAGCAAGGGCCACGACATCTCGAGGTCAATATACTCTAACCCCATTCTTATCGCGGTAAGGAAAAACTCTAAAGCTTTCTCGGGAGCATCATCGGGGAAGCGTCCACCTTGGCTCACCGTCCTGATAGCAAAGATTGCTGGAAGCTGCGTCTTACTCCTCAGGAGTGCCAACTGCTCCGAGACAAACTTTATTGTTGGAACACCATACTCGCCATTAGGATCCTCCAAAAGATCAACTCTGATCTCGAGAGCATCAGCCCCGATAGTAACAGGACCAACAATATCTATGGCCTGCGAAATATCAGGATAAGTCAAGGAAACGAAGAAAGTTCTCTCTCGTCTCAAGAACTTTTCGTGGTAATTGGCTTTCCCAATGATGACATGGAGAAATCTTGCAAAGTCCGCTTGGGCAATATCTAGATGCTCCGCGCTGACAACTGGGGAGTAGTACTGGAAGTTACTGCATTCATCGTACCAGGGCCTGCGGCGAAGCCATACGTTATGAAGATCTTCCGAGAACGCAGGACGAGTCTTATCAACGTTTAAGAAATCAATGACATTCTCGATATTCCTGTGGATATGGATAACGATTCCGCCGGTTTGGTGATAGCGTATTAATAGTTCCCTCGCCTCAGGGGTCTCGATAATACCGCCACCACAAGCAATAATGTGTTCAGTGGGATGTTCGGCCATCTTCCTCTTCAAGAGGTCAAATTCAATTTGGCGGAACCCTTCCCACCCGTCAGTCTTGACAATATCGGGAATAACCCTCCCTTGTTCCTCCTCCATCACTACATCAAGGTCCAAAAGCGGACGTTGCATTATCCTTGTTGCGATATTTCCCATAGTAGTTTTTCCAGCACCCCTCATACCAATGATAATGATGGAAGCGTTGTTTCCCTTTTTAATGATGCTGGGTTCGGAATGATCGATGATCTCAGTGCCGTTAAGAGCGACCTTAAAACTGGAAGCCAGGACGTCCCACCATCCAGGCCATGTCTTTGCCGTACACTCTTTTTCTAACACAATGACGGGCTCCGGCGCTATAAGTGACAACACCGAGAAACTCATTGCCACACGATGATCATCGTAGCAGTGCACACCATCGACGGGGCTCTGAAGAGTACTATAATCTTTTCCTTCGATCCAGATACCGTCCTCAAGCTCTCCAGCGGTGACACCAAACTTGGCCAACTCATGGACCATTGCTGCGATCCGGTTACATTCCTTAACCCTTTGGTTTGCAATGCCGGTAATATTCGTGCGTTCAGAGCCGACAGCCACAGTAGCAAGGACAGATGCGGTAAGGAAGGCATCAGTCATGGGTTCCATATCTACTTGTGGAATTGGCTTTAGCTGTCCTTTTGCAGGGCCACGGACGGTGGTAGAGTAATCGGTCTGCACAACCTCGCAGCCCATCGGGCGAAGTATATCAACCGCAAAACGAGCATCACCTTGGAGCGACTTCTTTCCAATGTTGGGAATAGTAACGGTAGTCCCGGTGATAGCTGCAATGGCCAATGGGTAGGTAGCTGAACTAGCATCGCTCTCGACAACGTATTCAGAGGGATTCTTGTATGTTCCTTGCGGGATGTGGTAAGTGTATTCCTCAGTCTCAGACTTTGTAACCTGGATTCCGAAAGACGCCATCATTGCGGTTGTCATCTCAATGTAAAGCTGCGAAATCGGCTTTCCGCCCACAAGTGATAATGTGACCGGCTGGCGGGCATACGGCGCACACATCAAGATCGAGGAAACATATTGCGAAGAGACTGTAGCAGCCAATTCAATCTTTCCACCTGCAAAGCCTGAAGTTGATGGTACACGGAGGGGAAGACACCCTTCATCCTCAAGGTAATCGACTGTGTTTCCGTTTGAACGGAGCGCATTCACGAGGGGCCCGATGGGTCTTTGCTTCATACGGGCGTTACCGGTGAGAACGATGGAGTCGTTTTCAGTTGATGGGGACACAAGGGTAGCAACCGTGGACAAGAACCTTGCTGCGGTACCGGCGTTTCCGAGGTATAGTTCGTCACCGCATGCTGTGAGTTTACCTCCATTGCCGTTTACAACTAATGTATCGCCATCATCCTCCCAGGAGAATTGCATACCCCCGAGCTTGTAAAGGGCAGTGAGCATGTGCTCTGTGTCATCAGAGTGGAGGAGGTTTTTAATCCGGCAAGTGCCAGTGCCAAGGGCAGCGAGCACAAGAGCTCTGTTTGAGATTGATTTTGACCCAGGTGGTGTGATGCTCAGTTCTGGGATGACTGACTTTTGCGAATCGACTATGACACTGGGTGCCATAATGACTCTGATAGCGTCGTCGAGGACGACGGATGCCTTCCTTTCAAGAGTCTTTCCAATAGCGGTCAATAGAACAACCTTCTTTTTACGACCATCGTTTTTCTTATCTACTCCCATGATTCTAATCATTTCCTCCACTTCACAGTGTTTACCAGCCGTAAGCTTCTTGACTCTCTTATCGTCAAGAGAAGTTGGGAGTCCGTAAGCAGTTAGACACTTTGATATCCTCGCGACAGCGCTTGGTTTCAGGTGTCCAAGATGGCGGGAGAGCTCTGCCTCTTTGATCATACCGATTGCGACACATTCTCCGTGAAGCATCTGGGGGAAGAGGATAGCCTCAATGGCATGTCCGATTGTATGACCAAAATTGAGGAGGTTACGGAGTCCACCTTCACGCTCATCGGCGGAGACGACATGAGCCTTAGTACGAACAGAGCCGAGGACAACTTCTTTGAGTAGTTGTTTGACTGGTGATAGGCGCGATGGTCCTAGACACGGTTAGGAATACTGAGCTATGTGTAGAATTGACTGCGTGAACGTTGCGTACCCTCCTGAATAGCAGTGATCTTTGATCTGACAGCTTGAAGTATCACATCCGAACTCTTTTCGAGCTTTGTGAACTCCTCCTCGTCCCAGATAGCGGCAGTCTATAGACGAGCCAATGAGTCATCCTGCAACTGGATAAGAATCGAAAGAGCTTACCTTGATAACCTCCGCCATTCCATTGATAAACTCCCTCTCCGGTAATGTTTCCAGGAATTGTAAATCAATATAGATTCTCTCCGGCTGCCAAAACGCTCCAATCAAGTTCTTTCCATGTGGCGAATCAATTGCAGTTTTACCTCCAATTGATGAATCCACCATCGAAAGTAGTGTTGTTGGTACCTGAATGAACCTGACACCACGCATAAAAGTTGCAGCAACATATCCAATCATGTCACCAATCACACCTCCACCAAGCGCAATGATCACGGTGTCTCTAGTGCATTCTTTCGATAGCATCCAATCCTCAATTTCGGCCTTTGTGACACGAGTTTTCGAAGCTTCGCCGGGAGGGATAGTGTAAGTGAGTAGCCGAGCATTTGGTGAATACTTTTGTGAATCCTGCTCGAAAGCTTCTTCGATCCGTGGAAGGTAAATGCGTCCAATATTGATATCGGTTATAAGGACATAGGTTGTCGACTTGAGATTTTGCAGAATATCTGAGGTAATCTCATGAATGAGGTCATACCCAACCTTAATTGTATCTTTCCCTAGAATTGATACTGTGGCGATTTCCATGGGCACGGAAGTGCCATTAGTTTCGGCGGTAACCATTGTTGTCGTGGGTTAAAGTTTTTTTTCCTTCACAGAGGGAGGAAGAAATTTTTTCGTGGGTTGCTGCAGCGGGGTTTTGATGCTGCCTGAGTCACAACCAGAAATGCAGGTACTTTTTTTCTAAAGGGAATGAATCGCCCGGGGGGTAATTGAACAGGCAATCGCGTGCGGGGAACAAACAACGTACTTAACCCGTAACTAGAGCCAGAGTGTTTTTGCGGTTAATTCGCTCCTGTAGCCCGTGGAATGTACCTGGGTGGGTGTTTTCGGGAGAGGGAAGCAAATGATAGTAGAGAGGGTGGGGTGAATAGTGGGGCAGCGAGATGGACCCTGCTTAAAAGTGGATAAGGGCTGATGAGAACTGCTGTCGCTTAAGTACTCGACATCTCACAATGCAGCTTTTAGATGTCTGCAATTAGTTGACTTTGGAATTGTCCACTTATACTAGCTACACCCGCCACCGAATTGTCAAATTGCGCTGATTTATATCTACTCCGGAGAAATTTTCGAGGCGAGGAATTTACTGATTACTGAGCATAAATTAGTCTGAAACACAGGGTTCGATTTAGGCTTTGTTCAGTTTGTAATTTGGTTCCTGATCTATATCTACACCACCAACAGCTTGACCACACGTCTCAACACTACATCAATAGCTCGCCTTAATTATTCTATCAGTTAATTAACTAAGCAGTTAGGATTTTAGAATTAGGTAGGATAGCGCTGTAAGTGTCATAACGAGAGTTTGAGTAGGATTCATTATGAAGCTTGTATACGCGTATACGTAAGCCAGTTCTTAATAGAACAAGATGGGGATATTAATTAACATGCATAACGCTTCTGTGATCGAATGGTTACAGACGATGAATCGGGGAAGGCCTAGCTATAGCTACGCTTATATTGTATCTCAAACAAGCTCTGGGAGTTCAATGCTTCCATACATGTAGCCTATTAAGCTTCACAATATACTAGCAACATCTAACACAAACTTAGTTAGGGGTAAACACATTAGAGGTATTCACTTGTCGGAACACGTGCTCTTATAGGTGTGTGCTTATATGGACCGCTTAAAATAATTGGCAGTTGCGTATTCCGAAATATGTACGAGGAGAAAATAAGCATCACCAACCTATAGCTACCTTATTGTCCAAAATATTTAAATTAACATGATAACAGGTTTGCTCCTACAATATATGGCATATGCACTCCAGGGGTATTCAGATTTTTGAGGGATTCAGTGCACGTGCCATATATATAACCCGCATTGTAATGCAGCGTTATAAAGGCACATACATGTATATAAAGTATTTCTAGAAGTCAGTACCTCTAATATATTATAACGAGACCTATATATGCAAGTTTCTAAATTAGTTCATGGCTGAAACTCGAAAGTATTCCATTTATCGAAACAATTAATCTAGACCCAATAACGTTGATTTAATTTCTCTTCTATCTATGTGTACATGTTATATGTAGACCTTGACGTAGTTTAATGTCGATGGGTACTACAATACCACTGACGAGTGATATGTCATGGAAGATTTTAAGAGAAGTGTGATGTTCAGTACATGTATACGTACATGTATGTTGGAAACCAATATGCATGACGAAGGAGACCCAGAGGAGATGAGCTAGACTTTTCAAGTTCGGGCGAATGTTTACCCCGAAACTACTCCACAACCCCACGGACAAGAATACAGCCGAGAAGTTTAGATTTCTCTGCGCACTAGGGATTCTCCACATAGACACACATGTACGTATTATTCAAAGGTAAGTTCGTATATAACCGAATAGTGTACTCGCACATCAATTATGTATTTGCCCAACCAGCAAAACACACCAAAAATCGAGGTTTTCAACAACTCATAAAAAGCCCCACACCTAAACCAAAATATCAACGACCAAGTATAGTATAATTTTGGTGAAGGAGGTCCATGCTTCAAATTCTTGGCCCAATTGAGATACTGGTAAAGGTGCTATAAAAGGACCCTTTTAGACACATTTCACCTTCAGGGCTTGTTCTTTGTAGATATGGCCTAAAAGTGGCCTGTAGAGTCTTTCAGGTGTCTAGATAGAAGACACATAATTTCAGGGGAGATGGGAAAGCTCTCTGGATTCTGTGTGTGTTTTGCTGGTTGCGCAAATACATACTTGATATGCGAGTACTAAGCTGATATATTCAGTAGCATGTTGTGCATGTTGTGGTTGGTACTTACCAGGTATCGACCCTAGACCTAGACCCTGGCATAACCTTATATGCTATTTGACGCTAGGACACACTCTAGCCTTACAACATGCAACCACTCAACTACGACCACTGGATTGTCACGACTATTGTAGAGTATTGTCACTATCACAAGTTCAAATGTGATAGGGTATGTAAATACAAGCTCTGGCATTAAGTGAGCGAACTAAATGGGGTGTTGACTAGTAAGGATCCGTTCACTCACTTAATGCCAGAGCCTTGTACATGTACCTATCGAACTTTGAAGGCTGTGTCGTGTAGATATGTATGTACTGTCAACAATTTACTGATTTGTCGAGTCACAGGGTGCAGGAAAAAGGCTGATCAGACGCACACGCACAGAAAGGAATGTAACGAATATCCTTAGAGCGGGGAAACCACTGGCTCTACGCTAGAGAAGAAAAAAAGAGAGTGAATCTGATTTTAATATAACTTTAACATAAAGAATATAGATAAGATTAACATGAATGATCCCCCATCACCACAAGAGTTCTTTCTCGCCGTCCCACACCTGGTGGGTTGATAGTTGTCGAGATCGTTGTGGCGGGCCGCTGATCATCGTCATCGTATTCTACTGACCACCATAATCCTGCCTGAGAAGTTGGTATGTGTTGTTTCTTGGAAGATTGACGAAATCCGCTATTTTTCGCTCCATTGATCTCCTCTGCTTTCTGGTGGCGCTGTAGCTTCAAGCTTAGCTTCTTCCTCCGGGACTACTCGCTCTGCCGTCTCCGCAGTCTTTTTCCTGCCCCCGCAACAAGGAATACATCTAGTACAACAAACGAAAGCATAACAACATAGTGCAACCCCGACAAGACCAGCCATCGCAACCCCAGCGATGACTCCGCTTTTTCTACTACCACGGCCACCACCGCCGCCTCCCTTTCGCTTCTCGAGAATGTGGGTTGAAGTCGGCGCCGCAGAGCAGTACGAAATGAAGAGGAAGAGGATAAGATTTATGAGAGTCGACAGAATATAGGCTGGTCGGGAAGTCATTTTAACGAGTGTACAGTTAATGAAATATAGAGTGACTGTGGTTTTGATTTCTGCGCGATATTTGGAGGTAGATGTTTGCTCTGGAAAGACTGTTGGTATCGGCCTGCAATGTTGCTAAGGGAGAAAAAACTCAGGGGAGGATTACAACCTTTTGTATTCGAAAATGTGAGGTTTCCTGAAGAAATGCGATATCCGGTTGGGGGGCCCCTTTGGATTTATAGGCGCAACCTTTCGTCAATTCAGCCAATGATACCGTTTGATGACCCCGAGCGCCTCTGCTAAGCCATATCAACGACCACTAACCAAGAAGGAAAAAAAGGTTAACAAAAGTAATATATTGATCCCAGTTTACCCCTATGTATGTCAGCAGGAAACGGCACAGGGGGTGCATGAACCAGGAACCAGACCGCCGCGGATGCATCGAAACGAGACAGAATACCTATATCAGCTACGTCTGGAAGCACAAAGGAACAATATTCGTGAAAGCTTAGCGGAACTTTGTAGGAAGACTAAAATCATGTGAGTTTCGTATAGCCTCAGCTGCCGATAGGCTCACTATAGTAGCCGCATATGTACTTCTACCTACTCGATTACTACGATATGCGCGCGATAGCTTGTGCTTAAGCTGTTTCTAAACGCTACACATGCACAATATATTTAAAAATCTAAGTCCCAAATCCAGCTATCTGCCGTCGTATGTGTCCTGTTCATAGCAAGTCAAGCTGCTCGGACGAAATTGAGACTCTCCTGGGGGCGATCGCACCAATCATGGGCAGTATAAAAATGAATATGGCCGGACTTTTGCCTTCTCTCATCTCTTCTGCGCGATTCAATACGAAAAAGAGCGCAGCCCGCGACTCAGGGAATCATGTGATTACCTAAGTAGGTACAAAAGCTGTAACATTCTTCCACGCAGTCACAAAAAACAAAACAAGGAGGGGGGAAAAACAACATAAGCACCTGATCGACAGCCGGTAGCCGTGCTCAGCCCTGATGCCAAGATACGATACCAACTTCGTGTCACCAGCGAGAAAACCAGAATGGAATGTCTGCCCTAGCCCTGGCCTATAATATGTATGTGCTTCAAGGCTGCAGCGATAACTAATCATTACCACAGAATCAAATCTATGTTAAGAACATATGCATTTTGACTATTGGAGGTGTTAATCTCAGTTGTATGTACCAGTACTTAGTAATAGTGGGCCCATGGTGGTCAAAAATGTGATAAGTCATGGAGAATCACTCGATTATCTGGTTAAGGTTGCATAAAATTGTCGAGAGCTGGCTAAGGGTCGAAATGCTATATTAGTGTATATCCCCATGGGCTCTTCAAAAAGTTCATATAGCACTTGTGCGTAAATCCCTGTTGTCTACGTATATCATGTAAATATAAGCCCACTACGAGACTATGAGAGTCTAGGTAGACTTGCCCATGAAGAGAAATAAACGAGTGATAATATATGATTAATCACTCAAAAGTACATGTAGGTCTTAGGAGTGATGATTTTTTGTTTTTTGTTTGTTTAATTCTAGGAGTGGTTGTGGTTGGGTGTGGCGGTTCCTGTGTTGTGCGTTTTCTGCGTGTGCGTGCTTTATATATATAGATAAATGAGATACTTCCACAAAGTTTAGTACTAAATAGCAAAAATGGATATAGTTAATTCTTGCCAGCTGTGTAGGGCTTGGGACTGGCTGATTTGAAGTCTGTTGCGGAATCATGAAGCTTATCCTGTTTTGAGGGCTGCGTCTACTTTGATCTATAGACGTGATACCGCATAACCACCCGTGAGAAGCTGCAAATTACTACAACTGATTCCTTTTAGCAAGTCACTTTGGGTAGTTTGATGCTAGTATAATCAGCCTCTGAGTATCATGAACAAACGTCAGTGATCATTATGCATGAATTTTCAGGATTTAATATTTCTTCAATTCAATCAAACTAAAAACACGGGCAATGAATGAACAATAACGATACGGCTGTGTCGCTCGTAATCAATTCATAAGGCTGTCTTTTTGATGCCTCATAAACCTGTATTTCTCTAGGCCTCTATTCTAGGGGGTGGATAGAGTCATTACATGTATCTATCTAATATTCCCGTAGAGTACTCTTCCACCTCGTCTGGGAGGCCGGCGTTTCCTTCGTCGTAATGGCTATCTGCATTGTCATCTCCCCAGGGATTATTTCCGGTGGTTTGTATCCCGCCATCACTATCGTCGGTACCAACGTTGGGGTGTGCCTGGGTTGGGGGGGTTGTTATAACTTCATTGGATGAACGATGCCTAGAGCGGTTAGGTGATAAGTCCCTGGAATAAGCTGATCGTCGTTGAGGGGATGTACGTGAGCGTTGGTAGTGGTTGTTACCTTCGTGAATGCTTGATCGAGAAGGAATTGGGATTTTTGTGTGATCAGAGCGATATCGAGCAGGAGTGGCGTGTGATAGAGCTATATGGCGAGGCGACAGCCCAATAAAATATTCTAGTCGTGGGGGAATCCCGTTGAGAAGCCTCCGAACCGAGGGTGGAGTTGGAGCGATATTAGTTGAGGTATCTGGAATCTCCAGAAATCCTGGAGTCCGGCTGGAGGGCGATTCTTTCTCTCGGAATGACAAGTTGTTTTGCGCAGGAGAAGCTGGTGATGCGTAGAGATCCAATTCTGCGAATATTTCACCGAGCCTGTATTCGGCTGCTCCATCTATAGGCAGAGAATAAGATTCCTGCGCACAGTTTTCCGCATCCGAATCCTGTCCTGACATCGCATCATCCCCAATAGACAGCTCAGCGTCTGCCTGATACTCGATGTCGTAAGCGTTGGGAGTATCATGTGTAGTGCCGTTGATTACGGATTCATGCTCAGCAGGAGTATCTGAGTATATCTCCCAAACTGCGTCCTGTTCTCTGTCCAGAAGAAAATTCGAACCACCAACGCTAAGTGTCGAAGGAATTAATGTTTCGTCATCGGACCCAGTAGAATTATTCGTAAGGGTATCCACACTAGTATCGTGCTCTCCATCCCAAGAAACTGACTTTAAGCTATCTTCACCACTGTCCTCGTCACCATCTTCAGAACTGCTATCGGCTTCAGCTATCGCAAAGTTCGTACCGCTGCAGCTGGGGTTGATATCTAAGAGTATAGGTCCAAAGCTGAAGTCTGACATTTCAGAGATTTCGTCACTATCAGCTTCACTGAGGGTAGTGCTATCCTCGTGGATACCAAAACATAATTCTTTAGCCTTTTCGGTTATGATCATTGTGTCTCGTCCTTTTCGAAATGTAACGTTATGATCCCATTGAAGTGGTACAGACAATGTCTGAGATTTTGGGACGGTTGGACATGATTTGTGGAGAGTTTTGTTGACTTCTTCGCCGGTTAGGATGATTTGTGTGGGTCTCAATCGAATCATCCCCGCCATAGTGGATTTGAAAAGAACTGGGGCCTGTTGTAATATGAAGACGTTGGTGTGATATAGTAGGTAAAGGCTTAATCGATTGTCGTTGGTTTTCAATGCTAGTATAATTACATATAGTGAGTGCGAATGTTCAATTTTGGTGAGTTAGGGAGTTAAATATATATATACTGGCCACGGGGAACTCAGCATGATTGTAATTATCCGTCCTCTTGCACATTAACCTAAGTGGACAGATTTCGTTCATCGACCGCAACTGAGGTAACGTTCGTCTTTGACTCGAACTCTAAAATCTAGAAATGACGTGGTTCTTCTAGTATACACCGAAACAAAGAACATACAATTTGTATCACCTAATAGGTACCGGCCGTATCTTTACGATATCCATGTAGTGTCTCTTAGAACCAAGCAACGCACTGTACTCTGAGTCCATGACCGCCACGTACTTAACATGTAAGGTATATATATACGTATACTCGATTTCTTACTCTATTCTACGTACATGTATGTACATGCACCGGCCTAAGCTCCTCGATTGTACAGCGACAGGTAATAAGTGATGGAACGCCTTGAGAGTACAAACACCAAATGTTGGTGGCGTTTTACCAAAACAGGTATTGCTGTGTTCCATCAATTATTACCTACCGCTGTACATGAGGCAGTTTCTACATATGTCATATATCTCGTGCATCTCGCTGATCGAGTCATGAACGTATCAGTGAGCAGAGCCCCTATGTACGTGATATTTTTAAACTCCGCTTGCTAGTGTATGCAATAATTCTAAGGCGAGGCGTTTGCATAGCTTTGTTGATACTGGTTAACCTGATCATTGACTTTGGCCGGCCATCCTTGAGGAATAAAATTAGAGGACTATACATGTACTTGTGCGAGGTAGATTCACTCTAATTACGAAAGCAAACATTCTATATCAACTTGCTTTCACCCAATTCTATCGGTCGAATGCTTTCATAGGACTCCATTTAGATATTATGGACATGATTGATCAGGACTAGAGAAATTCTGCGATTGTGATTGGAGGGCCCGGAGTTGATCCCCCTTCTTCCCTCACTCAAAATTAAGTTTGATATATCTGTTCTGAGGATAAAATCTCACCCTACGATGGTCGGATTTAGCTAAGCTATCATACACAGTTATATATACTCATGTGATCATGACATGATCATTGATCATAGTCTCAATAGATCAGTGCCTATTTATTTTTATACAAATATGGAGCTAGCGCTCGGCCATCCGTATTCAAGAAGACTCCCAGATACCCTCAATCTATCAATTGCTTATAATTCTGCGCTTGTAATAGATATTGACTGGATCTATGGAGTGATGATCCATGATCTTTGGATAAAGTCCCGGGTTACACGCGAATGATCCTGGTATGTCCTTTAATTATTAACAAACGTACATGATGTAGCTAGCTGCCATAAGGACTGAGTATCAGCATCTGCACAGCCTCTTTCTACATCCTTACAACTTGTAACGGACTATTACCCGTGATGTCTAGCTAGGTTCCAGGGTCTTTCGGGTTTTGTGAATTTGATGTTGCCACTATCATAAAAAAAAAAAAAAAAAATCATGACATTTCATTCTCGGAAATATTTAAAAGCGATGGTTTCTATTTTTGTGTTGCTAGACGTAACTAAAGCTACATATGTGATTCGAATGAAATAACGTTTTATACGGTATTTCGCGACAAGAAGGAGTACTGTGACAGCGTACGTATGATAATCTCCCGACTCTCTCGCTACGTCAAGGTAAATCTTCCAATCCGGACTAAAAATAATCGTAAACCCTGGCCATTGCGTATACACACCTGAGATTCAGTGTCCCTGCAAGGTGATCAGATTTAGATAATGCTCTAGTTACATATAGATAAGTGACTGCTTATCTGTGATGCCCCGCATTGAGAAATACAGATAGCTCGTTCTTCACTCAAGGAGTCTTTAGCGATTGTAAGCTAGCTTATGCTATGCAGTATGATAAATGTATTCTATTTTGGAAACCACCCAATTCACCGGGTCTAGCTAATCGTACCCTGATATTTCTAGAAGTCTACGAGATTTATCTGGAGAATTTTAGCTATGTGTAAGTCGCTGTACAATGTACTCAACATACCTAAGTCGTTAGCTTATATATTCCGGTTAATCACTGGTCAGTATCGATATATCGCGCCTTCGTTGAAAGTTATAGTTTCCAGTGGAGTATCTTGACTAATTTAAAACTATTTTTCGAGCCCGACCGCGCTACATGTATTTATGTAGCTCCCGTGCGGTTGGTATCGTGGGGGGTGTTCGAGTGCGATGTTGTGAGTTTGTGTGCCAAGCCTGATTCAATAGTTCGATATATGTCTAGTTACATGTAGTCACTCTTTGTCCAGGAAATTTTTTATAATAATAAACACCATAAGCCAAGGAAGCTCTTCCGGTTCTCGAGCCTAGGTTTACTGCATGGTGCCCAATGACAACGAGACTCTTTGCATGAGTAGCAATGTTAGTTAGCTGGGTAAGCTTTAGCTTTGCCGGGAAACAATCTGGTCAATAGATATTGGAAAAAAGAAAGAAAAGTAAAAAAACCGTATAAATCCCAAAGATCTGCCAAGTCATCATCAATTGTATTTCGTAAGGAAACTCACGGAAGTATCGCCGCGACTAAGTGTAATGTTTCCCAAATGACTTAATCCTTAGGCGCTTGTGGGCGCCCGAAATCGTTGCGTGCACTCGAGGTATTTACATGTACAGAAATTTTTGATATCCCTGTGTAAGTACATGTAGGTAGATAAATACGTACATATACTTATACACGTAGTTATATAGTTGAGGATCTGTATATCCAAGGACGTTGTGTAATGTCCGGAAGACATGTTGAAGTAGTGTCAAGATCAATAGTAATACGTTGTGTGCTAGTATTATTATCAACAGCATCACACTGCTCCTCACCAACCTCAAGGCACTCGATAATTCTGGTTGTGGAAATGACGAATTATAACATGAATCCTCCCCGATCCCCCGGATATTACCCGCCATATATATAGTCATGTATATAACTATATATCAACTTGATTGAAGTATGTATGTAGGCGCTTATGTGTGACAGCCTTATCTGAACAGAGTTCGTCTGATCGCTAATCTTTCGGATGCCTGCAACTCCTTTCCGTACCTAGTAGCGAAGACAAGCACGGGTAGGGAACATGAAGCCTGGGTTTGCAGATTGAAATTTGTTAATGCGATAGCTTTGATCCCAGCGAGGGCAAACGTACATATATTATTGCCGTCGTGAAGAGAGAGGGTTAGGGTTGGATGGTTAAATTTCTAACTATTAGTACTAGTATGTATAATTACGATAGAGTCGTAAATTTTAGTGATGGAGTCCGTTAATTCAGAGGCTCTCAGGAATTCCTCCAGGAGGTTTCTGGCATCTTTTCCTTGATAACTTCCTTTTCAGTGCCTGGGAGCCGATCTGGCTAGAAGGATATGGAAACGGCTAGTGCCAGGGAGAGGCCGCAATTTGTGCCCTGAAGATCACCAGATCATACCAGACTTAACTGGGCTGGCCCGCACAGTCTAGCCCATGACGCAGGGCATGCAACTGTTAATATGGACTGTCAGTATAAATTTGGCTATTTCCGCTTTCAGGTGGACACCGGGGGGAGGCACTTGCTTGTTGTCTCGGTCAACGGGGTGCTTTGGGAGATCATGCGGGTACTTGCTCCACGGGCAGGTTCCCTACAGGATTCTGGATATGTACCGGAGAAGATCAAGAGAAGATGTTTGTTAAGAAACCTTGAGATTGCTGAAATACTCTGTCGGCGTCGGGGATTGGAAGGGCGTAAGAAAACCTGGCCGTGTGGTCTCACGCCCACGCGTACAACTCTAACTTTGACAGTCTGTATGTAGTGGAGTTCCGTCAGATCAAGTCAGCAAGGCCGTTACCGTTACCTGTTTCCTCCACATTCTTTTTTTGATCTACGTGTCCACGTCTACATATGTGAGAAATTGTAGGTATGAATGCATGCAGTTACACGCTCCTTGAGATAATACAGGTACATGTATATATTTTTAAAGAAGCATATACAAGTACATACATGTTCACGAAGTTATTATTAATATCATTTTAGAATACATGTATGTATAATTAGATCGAGCAACATGAAATTCAAGAGAGTAGAGCAATTAGAGTAAATACATATACTGCGTACAGCGCTCACTTCCACCCAACATCATCGTTGCCCTTTATTTGTAGGAAGGCACCTAGAATACATGTATGTAGCTACATATAGCTGGTATATGTAGATATTGTGTTATGCGGGAATCCAAGATTACCTAGCTAGGCAGCAGTGCGTGTCAATCCCTGTCGCACGTGTATCTCTACATCTCTGCGATGATTCGTGAAGATAATGTGGACTTAGCTGTGCTCTACCCATTGTAGGTACCTATTGTTCTTGAGTGGGTGAAATGCCTACATGTAGAGCAGAGTGGAGTAGTCCATAAAAAGCAAAGGAAGCGCATACAGTCATTCAACACATATTAGATGAGCGCATAATTCTTTCAACATCGTGCATTACGACTATATCGGGGGGGAGGGTGGAGTAAGTGATGTCTCTTTTCTTATTTTAGGGCTCTTGAGGGGCCTTGTGAGGAAATAATAGTATAGGTTCTACACGTACAGTCGCTCACCTACTGACGGCGGATCCTGTCTGATGGTTCTGTTTGCCCTTGGCGTCCAAAACCTAACTCTTTTATTGGCCTCAAATCCCTGACCGCCATTAGACAGGATCCGCCTTCACCCCGTGAGTGACTGTATGTATGTAGAGAGGCGTGAGTGAATATACGGGCGAACACCTTGACAACTTCGCCTCCCTTGCTTGCTCGCTGCCCGTCCCTCCGTTAATTCTCTCGGCTCTCTCCACCCTCCGACTGAACATCACATCCACATCACGACCCATCTGGAGGAGCGTCATTGCAGCTGGCCCTCATCACCTCCCTCCCTCCCCCCCCCCCCCCCCCCCAGTCATCAATCCAACCATCGTCGTCCGTTACCTCCTCCATCAAATCCCTTCTCACTATCCCTTTCACGCCCCTTATACACTACAATAACTTCTTCACACCCCCTTCCTCGAGTCACCTAGCGTCTCCAGAAACTTCAGGAAGAAAAAGAAGAAGAAGAACTAGAAGAAGAAGACAGAAGGAGGGTTCACTTCTCTTACGTTCTTTCCACGGCTGAACACCCAACCCAATTCAGCAGGTTCTTTCTGAATTAATCACCGACAGTTTACCGAATTCTCTGGGGATTGTGCACCGTAGAGCCGATACAAGCCGGCTACTTTCAGCCTCGCGATTCTCCTGCTGCTTTATAACGATAATAGTCGTCTATATCGTGTTCTGCTGAATTCATGGAAGGCTGCAATTGAAAATATTGAAACTACTTCAATACGTTTCTGAGGATCGGCCGTTCTGTTTCGTTTAATCTTAGAATCTAGGCATAGCGCAACCCAGCTTGCTTAGCTCCCACACACCAAACCCTCAAGAAATTTCGACCTTCAAATCACACTCGCTACTACCCCCACCCCCGTCACCCGCTACCTACCCCTTTCTAGATCACAACTCTAGGTAGAAACATCGGCCTCGGATTAACAATAACAGCTCTTGACTGGACTGGTTTAATCGAAACAACTGTGAGATAAAGCTCAGGTACAAACAGAAGAGAATAATGGAGGGTGATTTGAACCTCTCGCAGGCGCTAGGGGGGCTGCGGATTGCAAATCAGACAGAGGACTCGCCTCCCCCGTCACCCCGTACGGGAACTTCGTCAAACTCAAACAACCCTTCTACTATTCATATCCCAGATCTTCACTCCTTTTATTCTCACCAAAACTACTCTGCAAATTCGCCAACAAGCAATGCGCCGGCTGGGAGTCAGTCTCCAAACTCATCTTTCGTCGGATCGCAGCATTCAGTGCCACCACCTCGCTCTACATACCCCCACCTACTCCGCCGTCAAGATCGAATTCCCAGTTTGCCCCAGGACCATATCAATCTAATGCATCCTCTGGCTACCCCTCGCAAAACATCTCGTCCTCCGCGTCGATCAATTCGAACCCTCAAATGTATCCTGACTATGCTCGCATGACTCGTGAGCCCTCGCGAGGATCATTATCAGGCCCTTCTGGAGCAGCTTCTAGACAGACACAAAGAGAGCGTTCCAACACAGACAGGTCCTACCGTCAATCCCATCCAACAGGTCCGTACCCCCCTCGTGTAGGAAGCAGCAGGGGAATACCACTCCCAGTAAGATCCGGTGGAGAAGAAGGAGGGGGAGGGGGAGGAGGAGGAATGTATAACGAGAATGGACCTCTCGCGAGTAGTGATGAATGGAAGGAGAAGGGTGCAGCTATGGGGATCCAAAAGGACGTCGATGCTAACGGGAACACGGTCACACGTGTAGTGAAGAAAGGGGTTAAAGATTTCAACTTTGGGAGAACTTTGGGAGAAGGAAGTTACAGTACTGTATGTTTAGAGTTTCGAAGAAAATATTCGATTTGTCCTCTTTTGGCTGACAATGTGATAGGTTGTTGCTGCTACTGATCGAACAACACTGAAAGAATACGCCATTAAGGTCCTTGATAAACGACACATCATCAAAGAAAAAAAGGTCAAATACGTCAATATTGAGAAAAACACCTTGAATAGGTTGGGAGAACATCCGGGGGTAGTACGATTGTATTATACATTTCAGGACGAGAGAAGTTTGTATTTTGTGCTAGATCTTGCGACGGGTGGTGAGCTTTTAGGTTTCCTGAAAAGGGTACGTTACAAATTCATTCAATATTTATCCCAAGCTGTGTAAAACTGATTAATTCTGAAGATGACTACTTTCGATGAAGAGTGCACTCGGTATTATTCTGCACAAATTTTGGACACAATTGAGTATATGCATATGAAAGGCGTTATTCATCGCGATTTGAAACCCGAAAATGTACTCCTCGACGACCAGATGCGCGTCAAGATAACGGATTTTGGAACCGCCAAGATTCTTGATCCACCAGAAAAGACAGGGGACGGAACGAATGGGGATTCAGCTAATGGTGCAGGTTCGTATCCTAATGACCAAACAGAAGGCGATGACGCGAAGGCAAATTCATTTGTGGGAACGGCAGAATATGTTTCTCCTGAACTTTTGACTTACAAGGCAGCTTGTAAGGCTTCTGATTTGTGGGCATTTGGATGTATAGTCTTTCAGTTACTCTCTGGACGACCACCTTTCAAGGCAGGGAATGAATATCAAACGTTCCAGAAAATTGTTAACCTGGAATACGAATTTCCAAAAGGATTTCCCCCAGTGGCGAAGGATTTGGTTGAAAGACTGTTGGTATTGGACCCTGCGAAAAGGCTAAGCATAGAACATATCAAAAACCACGAATTTTTTGAAGGGGTTGAGTGGGGTCGAAAACTTTGGAAACAGAAGGCGCCGAGGCTAAAGCCGTACGTACCGCCACCAACAGAAGCAAAAATAATCAAACTTGACGATTATGCCTCCGCATCTAACTCATCTCACCGGAATGGAGCATCATCGAATGGAGGGCCACCGGGCTCTAGGCCTCAGCCTCCTCGTGTTATAACCGAACTGGCACCACCAAGCCAGCTTGATATTGAATGGTCTCCAGTTTTGACTAGGTCTAATGAGCGGATATTGAAGCTGGGTAACGCTGTTGTACACACTAGTCCGGCACCTCATTCTCCGGATGGAAAGGGGGGTGTTAATAGTCATGTAGAAGCACCCAAAAAGTTTGCCCGGTTTTTTACTGGAAACAACAGCAAGAAGCGTCAAAGATTGGTGATGATTACAACCTGCGCCAGAGCCATCGTTGCAGCCTCGGGTGGTGATAAAAAAATGAAGATGGAAATCAACCTACAAGGGTCAGGCGTCATTGCGAGGAAGGTTACTGACAGCACTTGGGCTCTTGATACCGTAAGATCTGTTGCACAATTGGTTGCGGAATGGATAAATAACTGATGGCATTTTTCAGCGCGACAAAACATACACCTTTGAAGATCCAAAGACCTCAGCAAGCGAGTGGCTGGAAACAATAGATCGTGCCCGGGAAATCGCTAGTGCAAATCACCCACCAGACGATAGCTTTATGGCGAGCACCATGTCCAGCCCTTCATCTACCCTCACTCTCGAGGCAATCACCAGTCATTCACACCAACAAGCGCGTGGCACTGGTGACAGTGGCGATGGGCGAACAAACAAAAGATTTTCGAAAAGGAATTCTCGACACGGTTTAGCAGCGGTATTTTGACTGCGAGCGAGGAATTGAAGGGATATTTGTCCAGTGTGCATCACTGGGTGGGACTTTGGAGAACAAATGTGGATATATGCCGTTTCTCATTCTGTACTTTTTTTTTTTACCGGGCTAGGCGCAGTGTCAGTATTGTTGGTTGCTCTGGAACGATGGGATTTGCAAACACTTCTGTCAAAGATATCATTGTAAGGGTGTTTTGAGTATTTTTTATTTTTTGTTATTTTTTTGCGTGATCTCCCCTATGTCGTTAGAGGTCGTTTACTGCCTCTACTGCTACTACTCTTAGTGCTCTTAGTATCTGTGTGTTGATTACCTGATCTACTGCACGTTCAGGCGCTTTACATATATCTTGCGTATTTTTGATATCTTTTTTTTGTTGGTTCCCCTCGACATTGGTGGGATTTGGTAAGGATAGTACAGGTGGTTTTTTCTTTTTTTTCTTTCCCTTCTATCTATTTTTTAGGAGCACGGGTTACCTTTTTTCATGATTTCAGTACTTTGTCGATCTCTTTCCTTAATTTCCACACTCACAGACTGAGTTACATTTTCGTTTGTTATCCACTGTCTGCTTTTTCTTTTTAACAAAAGCATCATTTTGGATCGAGTTTGCCGTCCTTATTAGATGTTCATTGTTCGTTGTTGCTCATTTTCATCTTATTAGTACAACTATCCATCCAGCCTGGGAGTTTTATTTATTTATTTCCTTTATTCTGGGGGTTCATTTCAGTTTACTACACTAAATGCGTCATAAACGCCTCATTCACCACTCAGTTCCCTTTGTGAATGTACTTATCCACCAACGTAATGAGCCAGAATGGGAGAGCAGTTCTTATTCTTGGGCTTACTACATGCGGTGTTATAGTAGCCTCCATGAGGACGATCGTGGAAATAAGGGATAGGGAATTCGGGCTCGCAGAGCCATTATCAGTACAGTATGTTTACTTTTAGAGTACTCTTGCATGGTTGTATTTGTTTTTCTAGCACACTTTAATTATTTGGCATCGTATTTCGCCAAGCTCTTAAGAAAATTCTCACGTACATGTAGCTCATATGTATGGCGCGAGAAGGCATAGGGGGTGGGTGCGTCAACTTCAGAGGAACTTTTTTTGTATGGGAATTAGAGAAAATTCCACCGTCAGGCTAGGCGCTAGTACCATTATGGGGGTAGATCTCCCAATTCCTATAGATTGATTGGCTGCAAACGCCGAAGTTTACACACCTACCCACCATAGCTTCTCGAGCCATAGGTGTTGTAGACACCGCCAAGAACTGATTTGATTCTAACTAAAGGAGGATGCACATGTAGGTACTGCGGTATCCAGGGTAAATGAGAACAGCGAGAGGTGGAATTATTGTAGAAGCAGGGGTCTAAAAACAGGGTTTCTATGGCTGGGCAAGCCAATAGGACTCATCTCATACTTCTACAATAATCTTACCGCAAGCTGTAGAGTATGGCGATGTGGCTTGAGCTGTTATTTTGCTGCTTAGCTAGCTGATATGGGCCGCCATTTCAACTCACTTAGCCTGGGTTCCGTATTACACCCTAGCTCACTAGTTTTGAGGGCTTCATTTGTATATCCAAAAAAGCAGCGTCATCTGAATTCTCCACGGCTGGTGGATTTTTGTTTTGCTTCACTTCCGGCTCCTCGGATCTCGATCTTGACAGCTAGATGCCAACTATCGTAGATTCTATTTTTGAAACGGGAAGAAATCGCTTATATGCATACCTGGAAGAATATTATTGGAAGATTTCATCAAATCCTCAAGGCACAGCACGGCAAGAGATTCGAGTGATCGCTCATGAGGCACACTGAACGTCCATCCTGGTGTCCAAGCCTTGACGAGCGACGCACGTAGCTACGTCACCATTACTCGTGCATCGGCACTAGACAAATGTCTTTGAGAAGACAATGGAGGTATCCGACTGGATTGGAACTCCCGGGGGCTGGCTGGTAAGCTGGGGTTGTAATTGGACTGGAGAGCCCGGCCCGCATGGCAGAGCATGTATGTGGTTCGGGGAATATACCGTTGTTCATATTAAGCGGTTTTAGGGTGCAAGTTTAGTCGAGGGCAGGAGGTTAGATATTCATCACTGGATAGGTGCGGGTTGCGTTTAAGGTCTTTGAGTAGAGATCCCGGGTAGCCGCAGCCGCGGTCGTGGGGTTTGATCTTCCTCTGTTTACTGGGTATCGGTAATGAGGATACATAAGTACATATTAGACTGCGTTGTGTAGAGGAAGAGCTAGAGGAAACCCTAAATCGCACATATACCCATGAAGACACAAACATGAATTTTGCAATACTAGAATCGCACCGCTCGTACAGCTTGAAACTAAGAAACTTAGATTAGTTCGCCGGCCTAGACTTACATAATAGAGACATGACCCTCTGTTCTTCTTATCTCCCCACTACTCTGTTGGAATTGTTATCTTCTGCACGAGCATCATGAGCGTTCGAGCTTTTGCTTGATATTCCTTTGTCTATGCTATCAACTTCCCTTCTAAAGTGTGAGCCCTACCCATCAAAATGATAATGTTTATCAAGTGGTGGAACACTGATATTTGTACGAACAGAATGAGGAGTGCCAAGGCGTGAGGGGTCTGTTAATCCTAGGGCAACAAACACCTCGAATCCTGCCAAGTCTCATCACACTTCAACACCTATCTCTCGAACGCTTTATTTCTGCTTAGAGAAATCGACAATCTGTATGCATCTTTAGAGGCCGGTGAGGTACCGTTTTTGTTCTAGTAAGTGTCGATGTTGCTTGTGTAGCCTCGAAGGCTCAGCAAAACTACTAGAACATCTAGATCTCTGACCTTGATCAGTTTCTCGGAGGTAGCAGATAGACGTGGGGCCCTATATACACCTTTTGATCACTGGACTCCTTCCATCTTACGCTTCCAAGTTCCGAGGGTCTAACATCTCACTTGAGGAGGTGGGTTTAAATTTGCTATCTCCTTTAGTTAGTTATACGAGGGTATGAAATCAAGAGAAGGGGTATGATACATGCAATCCTTTTCTATCTCACACTCATGCAAGGGGCATGTCTGCTCATTATATCATATATCGAGTCTTTTATATATCGATATATACATACCTGTCCCGCAATCGATAATCTAACAGCAGTACACAGGACATAGGAAGAAGACATAACAGCACATCCGCAGGCTGCTTCCGGATATCGCGGATTGAATTTTCAACTCCTGAGGATTAACTAAGGGTTTTATCTCTAGTGGTGTGAGAGGATAAATCATCAACCATCGGATACCCGGGTTGATACCGTACGAGGTTCCTCAAGAAGCAAGCTTTTGCCAAGTGCAGGGGAAGTCTTTCTTCGGACCACCTGGGACGAGCTAGTAAGTCTAAAACTCAAATTTGTTCGACGGTTATGGTTAACCAGAAGGCGTTGTTCTATCGGTACCGGGTATTTATATATCCTTGTAATTAAAGTAAAAAAAAACGAGCCGTGTTCCTGACTCATTGGAAGCGCTGGTGGCAACATGATCACAGGGGCGTCTGAGTGAGGAAGGTATATATGAGCTTGCCTTTTATTTGCGTCCTTTTTGTGGGGCTGATAGATGTGACGATGTTTATGGGGAGAGAACTGAAGGCCGTACCAGGTGAGTTTGGGTGCCTACAGACACGGTTGACCTTCAACAAAAATGCTGAGGAGATCAAAGACAAAGAGGAGACCTTCTCGTGGGCCCACAAGCCTGGTCGTCGGTATAGTTTAGTGTATGCCCCAATTGAGATCAACAATCTTATATCTAACTGCAACTGTTGAAGAAGAGTCACACTTGCTAGCGAACCCCACGCCCCTATCTCGGCTACCTCGGATCTCTGCTCCCTTTCCTAGAAAATCATTTAGGGTGAGTGATCAAATATTAAGTTTGCATTAGTGCCATAATAAAGATATAAAGTCTCTATCATTTCCTCCTCTTTTTTTTGCCCTTCTTCATCGAACTCACTCTTTCGACAGACAACTTTAATTCCGTCCGATCCCCCCCCACATTCGTTTCACGAAATAAACCAGCGTTCAACTATCGCTATCCATTCGTTATTAATTAATCAACCAATTCAATTGCACTTGCATTTATCTAATAATCAATAAAACCTTTCAAAATGCAGTACCGCACCTCAGCCCTCGTTGCCCTCTTCTCCGCTACCACCGCCCTTGCCTACCTCGACTGCGGCGGCGGCCGTGCACCTCCTAAGACCACCGTCCCTGGCTGCCCCGGATATGTTGACCCTGCAACTGTCGTCCCAACATCAACTGTCGCCCCAACATCAAGTATCGAATACAATAATTATAATACTGATGACACCAGCAATTATTCCTTTGAATACGGCACTATCACCGCCGAAGGCTCTGTCGTCACTGATCAGCCTGAGGTTGGGGCGGCTGCCAACGAATACTACAGTCTTTACGTAGACCCTGATGCAGTATCCGGATGCAACTGCAGAGGATATCTTTGTCAATATGCCACTCCTGGATGTGTAAACTTGGACGCTTCCAGCACCATCACCGCCAATCCTGGATGGGAGACTAAGACCTTCGATGAAGATGCTTACTCCTCGTACATCAAGACCGCTTCATCTCCCAATGGAGAGCTCTCCCTCGATGGTTACAGAATCGAATTGATAACGCCCGTCCCAAGCGCCTCTGGCTACGCCGATAGCACTACCACCAAGACCGGAAAGGCCTCTACCACCGCAACTGGATCCGGATCTGCTACCGGGGCTGCTGTTACCACTATGGCGACATCAACGTTTGCGGCATCTTCCTCCCAGGCTGCCTCTAACTCTTCTTCTAATGGAACTTTATCATCGACTGATACAATCATCACAAACACAAACTCGGCTTCCACAATCTCTGGAATGACCAGTCTGGTTGCTCTGTTGATTACTGGGGCCGCAGCTATTGTTGTGTTGTAAGCAAATGATGTGTATGGGGTTTATGAGGCGGGAGTATATTTTGATGGAGCTTTTTTTTAATGAGTGGGATGGGTTGATTTTTTTCGGTACTTTATTGTTGATATTTGGTTTTGGCAGTTTGGGGCTGTGCTTGAAATGTACATACCTGCACGCTCGACTATGTATGTATTTAATTTTATATAGCGCATACCTGGACTCTCGAGAAGAATATCAACATGCTTTGGAAAATATTTGCAACTTACTATGAGCAGAGCGAGTGATAGTAGCACATAGACTGACATAATCTCCGCAATAATTACAGCAAGGTAAAGCCATACCGGGGGGCAAAATTATATTTAATTTAAGTCCCTAGTCTAGTTGGTCATGAGGGAGGGCCGGATCCAGCTGCACATAGTGCCCGATAGGACAGGCTTTCCAACACTCTAAAGGTTTTAAAGTTCTCACGTTAGGTTGAGCATCTGTATGAGTTTTGCTTTTTTTTAAAATTCCAGAAGTTTCGTATGGGCTGGGCTTTCGTTTGCCTTAGGTTTTTTTTGTAGACCGAGACGGTATTTACGAATTTGTTCAGTTTCATACATCGTCTTTATACATTCTTCGTATTCTCACCAATACAAATTAAAGTTCCAAGTATTAACTGACTCTACCCATACATACTCTGAGCACTATAAGGTAGAGGACGTCAAATGATATCCCCTGGGGAATTGCAGACATATTATCTCACTCACATCAACCCTAACCCTTGGGCTTGGTTCCGTCTATCGATTGGGATGGCTCCGCACCTTCTATTAACCCCCGAAATAAGAAAATTACCAAAAGTAATGACCAATCTAGAAAATCAACAAAGCTGGGGATCTAATGGTCGTTTTAGTTTCCACTTTCTAATTTCGTTTCATGGTGTAACAGAAGTAGGGTCGGTCGCAAAGCAAAAACACACCACTCGCAACACAACCACATCATAAAAAGGGCCAACTCCACCACCGCTCCCCCACGATACCAGAGGAAACAAAATCCAAAATGTAAGAATGGAGGCGCGGGGAATCGAACCCCGGACCACCTCTATGCTAAAGAGGTATTATACCACTAAACCACGCCCCCATTGGGAAATAAGCTATTTCAAATGATTATAGCAGTCATTTTTAGCTAAGCATTACAGATATGGTTAGCGCAGGGCATATAAGGCTTAGCGGGCTTCGGAATTCGCGGCTAGCAGCCGGTTATCGCGGGCGATTGAGAGTTCATGATTGAAAACACTTTTGTGCTATCTGGTGGGGTGGAACGTGGAGGGTAGAAACTCTAGTAACGCCTACTCAACGTACGTACACGAAATTGCTTAGGTCTTCCATGCTTCTTATTCGAAACGATAAATAGAGCACATACTTTGTACCCAGTGTTTTTATCCCCTCGCAAAACGCTGCCCACCGCTAAAGTTGGCCGGCGCGCACAAAGTAGGCCAGGGAACGTAATCCTCTTCCGTAAACCAGATATACTGTCAGAAAGTTGGGGTTAGCAAGTAAGCAGAGAACGTAACCTTTTTCCATATATAGATCATTTGCTCTGAGGGCGCGGGTTAGGCTTAGTAAGCAAGTCGAGCAACCCTTGTCCATAAACCATTTGCTGGCCGGGGGTTAGGGCTCGTAAATAAGTCCCTCTTCCATAAACCATTTACTCTGATCCAGAAGGTTAGGGTTAGCAAGTAACTGCAGAGAACGTAACCTTGGTCCATAAACCGTTTGCTCCGACTGATATCGCGCCTAGGCTTTTTATTATCTTGATTTTCTTATATTTCACTAAAATTACATTAACCCTCTATTATATTATATCATTAGAAATATGGGTTAATATCGATCGACAGACATACAAAGGAGAAATTCGAAAACTACATGTATCCATTTATAGCCTCTGGATTGTACACAATAAACGAATTATCATAGTACTATCATTCCTGCACACGGAAAATCGTGTTACTATAAGAAACACGATTTTCTCCGCTAACCACCAGGTATAGGGTTAGGACACTTAGGACAAAGAATCTCTTCTTTAAGCGCACGGTTATTTCTGTCTCACCGGCTTAGAGCTTTTTAATTTGCGGTCCAGGCCATTAGGGGAAACTGAGGAGGACAAAGAAATCTACAAATGGAAGAGGAAGCAAAAGCGGCGAGCCCTGTAAAATTAATTAATTTATCAACTAAGCGGTTAGCAATCATCTATTATACAAAAACAAAGCACAACTCTACCCAGCGTCCAATCGCCCAAATCTACACCACCATACTTAATTAATGAATTAAACAAAAAACAAAAAAACACCACCATACTTACCCCCGCGGCCCGAGTGACACCCCATGACGCACCCCACACCTACAAATGCGGCACGCCCACACTCGCCATCGCCAGAGACACCACGCTCGCCACGCCCTCCCCCAATATCAGCCCGCTCGCCAAAATCACCAATGTCGTCTCCTCGCCTTTCCACCACCACGCCACCCCTCCGCCCACGGCCCTCGCCAGCGTGAAACTTGGGACATTATACATGCCCACGGCCACGGCGATACCGCCTGGCACCCACTCCCTCCACCTTGACCCCTTCAGCCCCCACCCCCTCGCGAGCGTCGCTGCCGCACCCGCCGCAGCAGCAATACACGCCGCGGTCCACGCGCCCTTGGGAAGCCCCTCGCCGCTGACGAGCCGTGCACAGTCCACCCACACGTATGCTGTGGGCACCTGGAAGAGCTCGCCGGGAACGGGGTAGACCGTTGTGTAGAGCCTGTAGACCACGGCGGAGACCACCGCACCAGCGACGGAGCCGATGAGCTGGCCATGGAACTGGGCGCGCGGCGAGGCGCGGAGGAGGTAGCCGGTTTTGAGGTCCTGCATGATGTCGCCGGCCTGCTGTGCGCCGGCCTCGGAGATGGCGCCGGCGACCAGGTTGGTGAGCACGTTGGGGGTGATGAGGGCGAATAGCAGCTGCGTGAGCTTGCTGATGCCCGACACGGGGTTGAGGTCTGTCTGGCCGAGCGCGCGCACGCCCATGATGGAGAGGAGGAGTGCGAGGGTGAAGGCTATGAGGGTTGCGGGGAGGGGGACGGTTGGGAAGACGAGAGTTGTGGAGAAGATGCAGAGGAGGCCAGAGAGGAAGAGGCCAATGATGACGGTCTTGTTAGAGACGAGGTGCGAGGGCGGGAGGTCTTCCGGTTCCTCCTCTTCGGCAGGGTCGTGGTGCGGCTTGCGGGGGCGCCGGTGGTGCAGTGTCCCGGCGACAGACTCGTAGGAGCTGTTCTGCGCGCCGTCTTCGCCTTCGTCGCCGCCCTGCAGAAGCCGCTGGTAGGATCCGGATCCCCCGTCGCCGCGCCGCCGCATCGCCATGACCGCGCGCACCGCAGGCTCCAGCACCAGCCCGCCGAGCGAGATAACGCTGTCGCTGAGCATGATTGCAAGACTTACCCACACGATCCAGCCGCGGCTGCCCTTTGCCCAGTCGTCGACTGGCCCGGGAGCCCAGCCATTGTGTTTCGCCAGCGGCGACAGCACGCCCCATCCCACCACCGCCCCGAGCAACATGTGCAGCGTCGTCGAGGTGCCCATGATGATGCCCTGCCCCACATATGCCGGGCTCGGGTTCAGCGCCCACAGCCAGTGCGTTGCGAGCCCCCGCCCAAACACCGGGAGGTTGCGCAGCACAGGGACGAAATAGGAAGCAAGCGTGTAGGCCGCGCTCACGCAGAAGGCGCCGCCGAGGAGCCGTGTCTTGGATTTCCAGCTGCGGGCGTGGTCCTCGGTGCTTGGTGGGCGCTCAGGTTCGGTGCTGGGGGAGGAGGATGATGCGACGAGGTTGCGGGTGTCCTTGCCGTGGAGGACGGCGATCATGAGTGCTGTTGCAGTGCCGCTGGGGAATGGGAGCTTCTCTTTGACGATGACCTGGCGGCGCAGCGGGACAGCGAAGAAGACGCCGAAGAAGGCAACGCCGATACTCCATAGGATGAGCTTTGGGATGGAGATGTGGAGGGGTCCGCCCTCGGAGGGGAGGAGAAGGGTTTCGAGGGCGGGGATCACACCGACGAAGCCGGCGGAGAGTGGCATGGAGCCCACGGCGACGGCGACGGTCTGGACGAGCACTGGTTATGGGTAAGTTTGGGCTGACTGACTGCGCTGGGGGTGTATAGGGGGACAATTACCATTCTCGGTGGGTGTGAAGGGGTACGAGAGGTGCGCGGAGAAGGTCTTGAAGAGCGCGAACCCGATCAAGGAGGAGGGCATGGACATCATGGAGACCCAGCCGGCTATAGGAGGAGAGACGATTTAGCTAGTTGGTATTGGTGGAAATGGAGATATACAAATCTAGAGATATGTATGCACCACCCCTGGGGAAGAGATCACTAACTCTGCAGGCCAAAATACATGTTTGAGAAGTTCACAATCGTGCCAACGAGGAGGCCCACGCCGACTGCGCGCGTTGTGAACTGGCGCGTGTCTACCTTCTCTTCATTCTCGAGCCGTGGGTCTGTACCTGTGTCTGTGTGGACTGCTGTTGGTGCGGTGAGGCTCTCCATTTCGACGTCTGTGTCTGGTGGTGTGAAGTGGAGAGAAGAGGAAGAATGAGAGCTGGATGGCGTAGACGTCTCGGAGTCCATTCCTTTCCCTTTCCTTTCCTATTCTAATCTCTGATTAACAAGCAACCGGTGATCGGGTTCTAGCGCTGTATTAGGGGGGATTATTCTCCGTGTTGGGGTTATCGATAAGGGTGCATTATTAACAAAGTTAGCAGCCTCTTCACTCACATGACGCTATAGAGGTTCCGCCGAGTGCCAGGCAGGGAAGGTTAGGATGATCTATGATCTAAATAGGGTAGATAGAGAACGATCTAGGAATCTGTGTTACTTCGTAGAGCAGGGTACATAGACTGTGGTCTCCGAGAGATCTCCCCGAGATGCTCTTCCTCCTCTGGATGAAGATCGATAGGTATCCTCCCCAAAGTAGACATGTCAGAACCCGCCAACACCAAGATCGTAAAAGATGAAGAGATGTGCATATTGCAGGGGCCATGACGCCACCGTTCTAGGAATATAAACCCTAGCCCTAACCAAGTAGTACTCTACATACTCTGCGTGCATTCCGATGGCTGTAGCAAGACCAAACTATTGGGAGAAGAGACGATGATGAGATTAACAGGACTACTACATGGCCAGAAAGCTTTATACGATATAATTGAGGACAGTTTGTCACGTCTCGCCCGCCTCAAGTCCACGGCTGTCTCGTGCCCAGCCAGTGTTAGTCTTGGCGCCAAGGCTCGTACCTCACGGAGCTTGTTCGTACATATAGTTAGAAAAGTGCACACCCGAACGGCTCCTTCGGGTAAGCAGCTAGCAGTATTTCCCAGCTATGAGTCGCCGCCTTGTCGCGGTTTCATACACCGGGGAACCGAGATGAGACAGCTAGGCTACCTATCGGTACCGCCCAGGCGTTCGTCGGGGCGGGGCCGCCGTCAATCTGGCTTCCTACTAGTGGTCAGCTTATCTAGAGTATCTACGCTTTACCTGCATTCCGTTATCAATTGTACTTCCGTGGCCGGGCTGGAGAAAGGGGAATCATCCCCTTGCAGCAAGAGCTGGGCACTCTTATAGTCCAGGCTGTTGGGGCTGTCGAGAATATGGTTGGGGACACCTAGAGACGGAAGGGTGCGACATTGGTCCCCAGTGAAGATCACCTTCCTAGTCTAGTAATTACTTAGCACCAAATCGCACCGAAAATGCCAAGACAGTAGATTTATGCCAAGATATTGGCCAGCATCAGTGGTCTATTCCCAATCGGGTAATTATGTACTAAAGTACTTCCTAATCGGGTAATTATTGGTGTGGAAGTGCGACATTCAGTCAGCCTCTCACCAAAAACCCAACTTTTAGAAACTCAATAGCTCAACAACCACAACAGATAAAATTAATTGGGCTCTGTTACAGTGTTATTTATCTCTTTCTCTATTACTCTACAGAGCCATTTTAATTTTAATGTGTTGTGGTGGCTGGCCATTAAGCCTCGAAGTTCGGCAACTTTGACACTCCGGCTCAAGGTGTCCCCAACCATATTCGCCTGAATTATATCTAGATTCGAGAATGTTCGCCTTGAGGATGGAAAGTTGCATCTAGACTCTCGAGGCCTGGGATGGGATTGGATGAAGAACACATCTATATTCTCGAAGGCAGGGCAGGGATGGGCTGGGCTGCGGGAATAGGTACTGACGTTAACATGGCTGTGGGTTTTCATCTACTAATCTATCAGATAGCTACCCGCAATGTTTCCTGGAAATCATTGGCCAGGATAGCTACCAAATCCCAAAAGCACTGAAAGTTTATGAAAATGTCTCCGACACTAATAGCTCACCACCACGGAAACGTTTTAAACACTCGAAACCTAGGCCGGTCCCTGTGAACGCGAGACACATAGAGTAGAGTACTCATGCTTTAGGGCCTCCGCTCAGCCATGGTCATGGTGGGAGAGGGTGGAAAAAATGCTCGTATATATGACCTAAAGATGCATTACATAATTGGCTTCTGCGTTGATTGGCTACATAAGACTTCATGACTAATAGTGGCATAGGGCGTCTGTCTATGGCTGGGTGTGCCTAAGCACCTATTGGGTCGATATGCTATGCATACTCAATCAGGCGATTGTGAACACGAGACCACAAAGTGCACTTGTATCCACTACGGACTTCGAGGATGTTGCTCAAAATACCGTAAGGGAAAAAAAAATTATAAAAAGGCCCCATTCTCCCGTATAAGTATTCAATGGAAACCGCAGTTTCTGGTGCTTCTTCTTTTCTGCATGGCCGTGAGCACTCAGGTGGTCTGAGTAAAGTGGGGTATAAAGCCGTGAAGGTGCCGCCTTGCAATGGTGGGGGGACTCGCTTTACGGGTATCAGAACCTTGATAGTTGTGAGAAATCAGAAGTAACGGTTACCTGAATTGTGTGTAAGTGCAATGGCAAGAGGCACTGTCAGGTATCGATCGATTATATGGACATATCGATACAATCTGGATAGGTCTAAGAGTGTCCAGTCCTCTACACTATCTATCTTCAGTATCGAAAAGAAAGAAGAAGAGGGGTGGCAAGGCCTTGTAAAAAGATACTTGCACCTCAATAAAAGGATACCAAACACCACCAGTCGGTCCAATTTGAACAGCACCCAATCCGATTCCAAACTGGTAGCACTGGTATAGTTCGATCTTCCATTTTGACCGGGGCAGACTGGATAGGGTCAATGCGACCGATCAGAAGTATAATACAATGGTGGTAGCCTCAGATCTTTTGCACAGCCCCCGGGATCTTTACTTGACTATGTCATTTTCTACCAACCTAACAGAAAGCTTTCAACTTTAGGCATGCATTCTCCGCAACAGGTATTAATACATGCAGAACTGCAAACACACGAGTAGGGCTGTCAATAGAGGCTTTAGGCCAACGATCAATTTTGAAAAATGCTATTCGCCATCCAGCAAAATAATCCCTGCAACCATCAATTTTGACCAAAATTGATAGTTGGCCTAAAGTTTCTAATACGCGAAAATCAGCCTGACCGTGATCATTGATGAGCATAGGAAAAATCTTCTAGAAGTCTTATGACAGCCGGGGCCTTGAAATAAAGCAAATAGGTTTTTCGGTTTCTAAACGTATGTCATGACGGAATCCTATCACGCAGGTATTTTTTCGTTAGTTTGGGAAGGCTCAGATCTTGAGCTCTTGATTATAGGATTTCAATGTTCGCAATCATGAAAGCACCAAACCATACTTGACCATAATGATGGCCACACAGAATCCGCTTTCACCCCATGAGCAAGTGTATAATGGAATGCCGGATGATATGTCATGATCCCGCGTGCTGCATGCATCATAATATATTATCAATCAACGCGCACCGCCACACCGAAAAAGCAGGGGATGCTATACATTAGGTTACTCTAGCTCCCACGCCGGAGGACCTCCGCAATCACTAAACTATAGTACCGGGTAAGTACTATCTAATATGGCCATGGAAGCTCGACCCATCCTCGAGACACATATATACATGTAGCCAAATACGGTTATTTCTGGTTGCTTTATGTAAGGTTGGAAGATCTTAAGTGATTGTTGTACTACGTGCCTTTCAATGTGCCTTGCAAGTGACCGGCCATGAATTAGGCCAGATGTAACAGGATATACAGTGAGGGGTAATATTATATGGTACGGAGTGTAGGATCGAAGGCTTAGGGATAGATTAAGTGTTTGGTGATAATGCACTACGCTCCGAAATCACGCTGGGGGCCGTTGAGAATAAGTGATACAAATTACTAGATCAAGGCTCCCTGTCTTGGTAGTACCTGTGTACGTGTAACGTAAAAGTTGGCAATATCCATGTATCGTCGCCAACTTAAGCGTTCGCCTATGTACTTGGTAGCTATAGGTGTATACTACATATAGGTCGTAGAGAAGAGATGTACATACTACATGTATATATCTCATTAGATTAACGGAGACTGAGTGATTTTTGTGCTCCATCGAGCTGTCAACCTGCTTCCAGCCCTATTATATCTAAGATGAAATCTTTGCCTAAAATATTGAGGTTTAAGTAAGTCCATGTCACATCAGTAGTACGATCACAGTTGCAAGAGAGAATCCGAATGTCCTTGGGCACAGATACACCTGCACTCAGCCCCCTAACCACTAACTGCACATGCAAGCCTATCATGGCTCGTTAACCGGCCTATATGTAACCTACACGGTGACCCGGCTGGGGTATTCTTAAGCGAGGTTTAACTGTATTCCCGATTAGTCCTGTGAACTAATTGGTTAATCGCTACACAATGATCAGGGCACGGGCTAGTATAGCTCGCAAAACTTGCTAAGAAAGGATGATCAAGATTGGGGGGAAAGGTGCACATGTATAAAGTTAGGCTAATGTGTCCTGAATTCAAAGACTCACAGATTATAGCAGAAGCAGTTCGCACAACGTACGGAATAACAATTTACACGCGCAGACCTCGAGCTAGATTTTAAATTGAGTCAATTCAATTCAGTTTGCTGCGGATACTATCGATCGGTCTACTACTACTACTATACTAGATATATAAACTACTTCATCCCGATATCAACAAAAAAAAATATCATACCATACCAATCACTACCTATTTCTGCTCATCTAAAACCTATATCGATATCATATCTCTACAATCCGCCATAGATCCAAACGTACCAATCGAATTAAAACAATAACCATTACTATGCATATGTCCAATCCCACATTCCATACTCTTGTCCTACTCCTCCTTACCCACCTCGACCTCACGGATGCTGCTCCTGTCTTCCTCAGCAAACGTAAGGGTGGGGGTGGAGGGGGTGGTGGAGGCGGTGGAGGCCGATCCAGCGGCTTCAGTGGCGGTGGAGCCGGCTATGCCGGAAGTAGCAACAACGATGACTTGACTTGGAAAATTATCGTCATCGTTGTTAGCATCGTCCTCCTTCTGATCTTCCTATGGTGGTTCCTACCCTACTATGTGTTCCCGAGATATGAGTGGTGGCAGAGACGGGTGGAGAGGAAGAAGGAATTGGCGGCGATAAAGGCACAGAGGAAAGAGGAGGAAAAGAGAAAGCTCCAAGGCATGGGGCAAGGGTAGTCGTGGTGAAGGTTGGGAGGCCCCGGGGGGGGGGGGGGGGGGGGGGTTCTGATACATTTTTTTTTTGGACGGAGTTTCTGTTTTCCTTTAGTTTTCCTTTCGTTTTCTAGATCTATGATGACTTTATGCTTAATTACGGAATTTGATTTTGCATGCATGTCACCTGCATACACGGGGAGTTTTTAGTACGTATAACGAGAGGCTTTTTATATTTTATTTTTTCTAAATTTTTCTCTACGCTTTCTACATCTATAGAGTTTTTCCTAATATTAATTTTGGAAAGAAAAAAAATCACATGACCATATATACAGAATATATCTGAGAACATTATAGTTCCTTGCGCGTCGTAGCATCCATCAGGCCATGATCATGACCGGTGCCAAGCATTAACAGCCCATACCACGCCTCTCCGCGTCTCAGATCTCTTTTGCGCAGTTTTGAAAAACGAATTTGATATCATGATCATGACGTAGATAAATAAACCGGGATTCAAAAGAAAGGCTTGTAATTGGTGGTTAGAAAGTCTCACCAAATCTGGCGTGATCAGCAAGGCGTGTAGCAACAATTAGTACAGGTTACAAGGCGGGATCATGAGGAATCACTCCGCACTGAAGCTAGACGTCATGCCCATATTCTTTTTTGCTTAACCCATTAATTACATACGTCATGCTCATATTACCAGGAGATTGATTGATTGATAATTCATTAATTGACATTATCAGTAGAGCAAATGTTGAAAAACTAATACTTACTAACCCAACCTTATTGAGGGTTAGGGTCCAAAAAAGTCGGGCAAATGGTTTATGGATGGGTTGCCTATCGACTGACTTGAAACCCTAGCCCTAGCCCTTGATCAGAGCAAACGGTTTATGGAAGAGGGTTGCGTTATTAACTGACTTAACAACCCTAACCCCCGCTAAGATACCCCTTTAAAAAAAAGTGCCAAGCTAGCGATATTTTAAGTGGGACGGTTTTATTCCAAAAGTGCTACTTGATTGATTTGTGGCGGTATCTTAGTGAGGTGGCTGGAAATTAGCACTTTCTAGCTAAGATCATTACTTCCAGAAGCTTTGAAACTGGGCACCGTATGGGTACCTACCTACAAGGAAAATAATAGGTTTTTCATCTTTAAAACTACGGTCCTCTACATTTTGAAGTTCCATTCCCCCCTGTTTCATAATTTGATATTACGGGCTCGTACCCTGGTTCTGGATACTTGTACAATAATTCTCGGGTCCAGTCAATGGCGAATGGGAGTCTTTGACCAATGATCATAGAGTGGCTTTACAATTTGATTAGCTCATTCGCCAAGACAGGTTTGTCGTTGACTTGGAAATGACTGGAAGTGCGACATTCGGCTAATCGTTAGTTAATGGTCAATCCTCAGCCACACACAACGCATCTTTCTCAACAGCCACTAATTAACGTCTTAACATTCAACTGATACTGTCCGTAATATCAGCATCATAATTTGATAACCAGGTAAAACAAAATCAATCAGCCTCTGCCAAGTTGTAGACAAGCAGAACAGAGATCGAGAGACATGCTCGAGTCCAAGTAATTCTTGGCGTGATGGAACGCGAGTATTCGAAAAATACTCTGGGTATTACAGGTGTTCTAAGACTGTACGGTATCTAGTACACAGGACGTGGCGGTACCCGCGAGCAAGACGGCTTAAGCCACGTTACGTTCTACTGATTCACACCGAATACTGTGCCTTTATATATGACTGGGTAGGAAAAAACCGCTTCTTCATGTCATCTTTAAACCCTCAGTCAGACCTGATTCAAATGACGGTTACTAGCCTTATACAGTAGGCTATGATATCATGAACTCTATGACTGGAGTTTGTTTGGCACAGCCACCGCTCACTATTTCATCATGAGAGTATGAGTCCTTTAGTCAGGTGTACAATACATCGTACCTGCTCTATGCTGTTAGTTGTCATTTGGAACGAGCTGTGTTCAGCTGAACGCGGGTAACATACATCCTATCATTAGGTTCATTACAACGCGCTAGGGGTTTAATGAAAGAATAAGCACTATGGCGTTCAACAGAGTATAGTTGCTAAATACGGTTACATACCTTTCGATTCTCGATTTGAGCTGACAACCGATCAAAGGGATACAATCCTACGAAACCTATCATGATCAGAACATCAACCTTCCCGGGATCAGAGCTCATCAAATGACTACAGCCGGTCGTGAGAGACCTATTAAGTATATGAGAACCAAAACCACTCTTGTGACGTGAAGGCATATCCGTGTTACATAGAATCTTCTCTTCAGCTCCAAGACGCGCTAATGTCGATCCGAGTGATATTACATGATTAAGAATTGTTCGTCATTACGTTACACTCAACTGCGAAAGTCTTGATGACTTTCACGGAGCTATTTTAGCCCCTCCTCATAGAGTCTTTTGAATTCAAGTGTCAAACAGGAAATACTTGTAGTGGGAAAAATATTCTTCGTCTTGGCAGTGCCCAGTTGCAGTTTCCCCATCTTTTTTTAGCAATACCAAGTCCCGTTTTTCCCCAGCCCAACCCCCCACCCGAGATTAGAAGCCGTTTCTCTTAACTAGCAGTTCCCAAACCTCCCCTTTTAGGGGGTGGGGCGGTGGCCGACGAAGCTAGATTGGAGTGATCGGTAGTGGGTTAGGGTTGGTTTGTTGATTGATTGATTAGATGTACTTCATTAGTTGCATAGGGTTGTTTTGTAGATACATGAGTTGGCTTTTCAAACTTGTTGCGTTTAAGATTAGCTATGCAGTTAGTAGTTATGAAGTCGTGGTTGATTAAACCTTGAGGATAAAAACGCTTTATTTTGCAGCTCCGAGATAATTATAAGTGACAAAAAAACATCGAGTCTTTAAGTCGGGGTGAGATTTTTTTCCAACTGGCTAGCTTGTTAGAGATATACAAGACAGCTCCAAACAAAAGAGAGGCATTGCGCGCTGCTCTTTTTGACCCAGTCACACAGTGTTTCCACCAAGCCTGGGAGGTAAGCGATTCGAACCGCCAACCTCGGCCCCTCTGGGCGACACCATAGCAGCTGGGCTACGGCGGTAGATGGTGTGTATTATCCTGGCACAGTTATCAAGCGGCGGTGTACCCATGATATCTATAGATCTAAAGTATGTATTCTATGAAAGTGGATACTACTTCATCATACTATGTCTTTAACCACAACCCTAACCCAGTCTGTCTGGTCATCAAGTCATATATACTCCCGCTCTCTGCGATAGAGCTAGAGTAATTTCCCATCGTTAGGCTACTGATCTTAGCACTTCGTGGGTTCACCCAGTTTAAGATACATGTATTATCTCTATAATCAGGGTCTATGGGATTCAGGCTCACCTTCCTACGCAGAGTTAACCGTACCACGGCGACGTACTTGGAGGCTCGTGGCCTTATATCTCAAAAGAACTAACACATTAAGAGATACGACTAATAAACCTTGGGCTTCGATATTTGGCCTAAGAAGAAACTGCTATAGAGTTTACTTGGCTTTTTTAAAAAGACAGCGAGACCAAATACGTTTAGTTAACTTGATAATTTACGTTGTTCTATTCGCTCTGTTACTATATAAGGATACCGTACCGGACCTTGAAGTCTAGGAAATAATAAACCACGGTTCTGGCGTTGCGCATTCTTATCTCCGGGTTATTTACCGAGTGATATACTATGATCCGAATTCCACGCATAAAAAAAAGAAATCCGGAATTCGGCCTCACACAGAGTCGGGCATCAACTAGCATCTCATACACATCCATAATCAACATTCCGGACGAGTTTTGAGTATTACTCGTACCCCATTAACCCACCGATCGGCACCCCCGAATCACGATTCCGAACACAAGTCGAAACACATCAACACCAAACCGAATCGCTGAGCAATATCAGCCCCCACAAACCTGCTTATGTCTTTGTTTGGTTTTGTTTGGCACCAATGTGTAATATTCACTCAACACGTACCTGAGTGCATATCGAACTCACTTTACCTACACCCACCTCGATTGTCGAATCTGACAACGCAGGAAAAGCGCACATGTATGGATCGGACGGACCAAATCTCCGACTCCGTTTAAATTCGGCTTCGGATCGGGTGCCGGATGTCGACGACGATGACGATGTAGATATGAGTGATGAGTGCGCAGTGGGACTTGGAGTGGGAAGAGTACGTAGTCTACCTGATTGAAAATGGATGTGTAACTGCTTATAATTAGGTAACTTCCAGATGCGAACAGTACACGAAGGACCGTATTACAAGAACATCATTTCCGGGCTGTGCTGACATATGCGCCCGTTCGAGTAGAGTAGGTACATACATTTTGTAGATGAGTAAACGCTCCCTTCCCCCATATCCCCGCTCCTCGCTTTCTTTAAACACTTTCTCTTACTTCCGTCTTGATTCGGAACCGAGGATCCCGGTAGGGATTTATCGGAACAGTGCTTTCCAGCCAAGGAAGTAACCAACCAAGCAACCAAAGGCAACCAATTTGAGGCAAGGCTCCGTCCGCAGTCCGTAGCACCCGATATCCCGAACCGTCATTATCTCCAGATTGCAGACGTCTCGAGAAGCATCTCAGAGAATCTTCCATCAAAGGTCTGTCGCACAGGCAGGAAAACCTTAGTTAAACGCCGACTGCCAGGGATAGGTTGCATCTACATCATCTACATCATACATGTATGTTCGCAAAGAAGAAGTGTTTTTCCCCACTCCCCCTGCGTCGCGCAGTACTTCTTACTAAGATATTTCTTCTTATCTGCGCCTACGGCCGAAAGGGTCAAATAACCCCACCGATGGCCAGATCCCCGATGACTCCGCCGGCGTTGTGTGTGTTGCGGTTGGATCCTAGGTACTTTACTCTACGTACTTGGCGAGTCTCATGGATGGTGGTGTGCCAGATGACTCATCGCAATAAGTAAAGGTCACGTGAAGTGGTGGTACAGTGGTAGTATATATCAAATTAACGATTCATACTTTCCACGATCAAACACG